CTTCAATATACTAAATTATTTCTTTTTTTAAGCTTTACAAAATGGTTTAGGAAGAAATTGCAGAATTTTGTTTTCAGGGTCAAAAATAGGAAAAGCCATTTTTACCCCAATAAAACCGCCCATAAGCCCCCGTTCCCATGGCCGGATTATGCTGGTTTGCGAACTCGCTCGAATAAACGTAGGTTTACACGTTTGTACCAAATTGCTGGTGTTTTTTTTTTACCTCTGGGGGACCTCAAAACGAAAAAGTAAATTGGTCCTGGGTCCAGGTCTTACCATGAGACCTACGGTAATAGCTTATTTCCTAAATGGGAAATTCGCTAAAAAGGTTCGTAGTTTAATAAATATAACCAGTATATGTTTAGATTTAGGTAAAAACTACAAATGTCTGCAGAATGGGTGCCCTAGATTGCCACTATTCAAAATAGAAAAACTGTTTAGGCCAATAAACATAATACATTTCATAAGATATCATAGTTTTTTTTCACCCCACCACAACGGTAATAATTTCAAACTACTTTGACACATTTCTACATTTTCAACAATAAAATAGAACAAAGTAAGGGGGAATTAGGGGGTGGGAAGGGGGGATTTTTCTGGGAGGAGGGGGGATTATGTTGTTTGTTCTTTTTTCTATGAGTTGAAAAATCCATGCGCAACCCTTATTTCGTATTGACGTACTCTTTAATCTACCACTATACTTTTGTTAAAGGGATAAACCATTATTAAAAAATTTTAATTAAAATCTAGCTTGGCTCATTTATTTAAGACTGTTCAACCCACCAGGTAGAGTCATTAGAGGTAAATGACTGACTGTGTGATTCGTTGTTTGAATCCTCGAGTATAACTAGTTTCATTTAAAGAACCTAGAGAAGCATCTAGTTTCATGATTCGCACAGTTTCATGATTGGTGCAGTTTCGTCTGATTACCTACATCTAAACTTCAAATTACTTTCCATGCCCACTTTAGTGAAACTTGTTATGAAAACATTATTCAATAAACATTAATTATGGTGAATTCAAAATGCACATTGTATATTGAATATTTATCTGTATTTATGGTTTTGTATTTACAACTTTCCCGCACCGAAATCCGGGACGCTAGGCTAAGCTAGCAACACAACCAAACCTTTGTAATTGCGCTCGATATATTCCTTAATCATTCATGAAACCCAGAAAAAGTAAATTTTTGAGATTTAAAAACCAAAATATTTGTCGTACTGGAGGGAACAAAATGCATTCGTATTTTCAATACGTGTTTGGGACCTACCTACAATGGCTTGTTTTAGAATAAGGTAAAACACTATGCTGGTCTCAAACGTTTTTGCGTTTGTGGATTTTTTCGCTAGTTGCAACATATATTCAACATTTTACACCATTTTAGACGATTTGTTTTAATATTATATACGTTTTAATAACAAATGGTTATAAATGAACATGGCCATTTTCAAACACTAAAAAAGTATAATGGATAGCTCTATGCAATCCAGGCAAGCTTAGTCGGCCAAAATGTTCCAAGCAATTAACTACGTTCGTTTGCATCGGTGCCACCAAAGCTTTAGATTACAATTTATTTATATTCCTGATTTGGCTCGCAATACTATATGTAGAGGGCACAATCTTGGTATATCCATTATCTGAAGTCATTATCTACTGATCATTTGTCTCGAAAAAAAAGAAATACGCTCTAAACTCTAAACAGCAACGTTAACTACATAGCTTAACTTAGAATAAATTTATTTTAGTTGTGTTTTTACTGGAGTAAAGATGCCTTTTACCATATACAAATGTAATAAATTTGTCCTTCGTAACAAAAGTTATAGTTTTTTTGCAATTACGTTGAATATTGAAGTATTGGCTATGTTCGAAAACTTTCATCTAAATACAATAAAGTTAGTTATTTTAATATAGTATCTACTGTAATATTTAAGAACATTGTATTACTTATTATGACGTATACTTAAAAGTAAAATCTTTTTTCGAAATAGAGTTGATGAACAATCTATGGTATAATAAAGTTCAATATTTCGAACAATATATATAATATCCCTAACGCAGCAAACCTACAAACCAAGTGAATTTCCATTTCCCTGATTAGATTTACACTAAAATATCTACTTAAATATATTACATTTAATCCCTATTTAAATAGCATTCGTTTAACGAGTTCTTAGGTTTGTTGCAAAAGGGAGGGTTTAAAGGTATGTTTGTAAAATATTAATACGTAGCTAGGATCAAATAAATGCATTTTCCAATATAGTAAATCATTAGTTTTTTAAGCTCTATACAACTGTTTGGAAAGAAATTGTAAACTATTATGTTTTTAGGGTCAAAAAGGGAAAAACCAATTGTAATCCCATAAAACCCATAAATATATAATGTATATCTGAATTCGAACGCATGGTGTTTTTGGCCTCTGAGCACCTCAAAATGAAAACGTAAATCGGTCCCGGGTCCAGGTCTTACTAAGACTACTATAGTAATAGCTTATTCCCAATATGGGAAATTCGCTAAAAACACACAATATGTCAATGGATTTTAAGCTAATATTAGAAATTTAAAAAATGAATAAAAGAAAAAGAATCACCACCCTTGGATGGTAAAGAATTGATGAAAGTAGCCATCTTTCGTCTTAAAACTTGCTACTCTTAATGAATGTTTGAAGTAAAAGAGAGACTCTTTTTACAAAAAGCATGGATCTGATTGTTTACGTTTAAGTTTAAATTAAGTTATACCTTTTACTCTGCAAGGTTCTTCCATTAAGAAACACCTTTAAACTTTATAATGTAATCGATGTACTTGGACTGTTACCCTTTTTAAATCATCCTTTGATCATGTCAAACTATAAATTGATTCTTGATTAGTATTTTTTCTTTTACAATGATATAATAAAAATTTAAATGTTTCTACACTAATACTGTATACACTTACAAAACGGTAATACACATTGTGTAACACCAGTAACACAAAATCATTAGATTGGGTAGTCGATAAAAATGTATATAAACAAATGGATTTACTGTGTTATAATCTTGTTATTTTTTACAAAATTATTCCTTTTTATCGATGACATTCGTCCTAAGTACGTAAGCCCTGAAGCATACGTTACTTAGGCCTACCACGATTCTTTCACTCATTAATTGAGAGTCCTTTAGTATTTGATCAAATAAGCTGCATCTTAATAATCTTATTAAGTACGTGTAGTACTTACCTACCACTTTCCCCCTACTAATATAGAAACATAAAATTTGTACGTTTGCATGAATATGTGACGTTCACACAATAAATGTTATGTTATACCCTCTCGTCTCGTGACGTAATAGTCTCTAAACGTTCACATAATGACAGTATAATGTGTAATGAAGTTGTACAGTATGCAATAGTATGGTAGTCGTGACAGTATACAGATTTTTGACACCATACTAACTCATAACAGTATACAGTCAATAAACGTTATATCCTCATCGCAATATTCAGTCTTATTATAAAATACAATTTCATGTAGATATAGATAATTTTTACGCCCTTTTAACCAATATAATCAACTAATGTAATAACTGTATCAGTTGTATATGTTTCAAAGAGTTAAATCACCTGTATTACACGGAATATATGAATATCAAAATATCAACTTTAATAAGGAAAATTGCTGGATTCGTGGAAACATCAAGAAAACACCTCGCAGTCTGGATGGCATAATATAATTTCAATTTTGTGATATCATTTTATTATCGTCCATTCTCAGAATTCATAATAGAACATAATTTAGTTGAGCTAAATTGATTGTGTAGTATGTGTTACATTAGCTTGAGTGTAATTATTGTTTGATGAATACAAATATTCAGTTATTATATTAGATGGCCTCTTAAACAATACTGAAGAGTATTTTCGTATTCTATATAACAACATCCATTTTGGTAATAAACAAAAAGGCATCTGTGTTAAGATTTTTAGAAAATACTCCTCAACAAAATATAATTTTTTTACTGAAATATTTATAATCCAATCACAGGCTCAACACAATTATTTAAAAACTTATAAGTTAAACATCTATAAAACAGTATAAAAAAGAGTGAAATTCTTTACTTATTTATTCCGAAAAAAGAATTTTTGCTCCCTATTGGGAGATCCCTTTTTCTGTCGACGATTGATCAATTACAATGGTTATAGTTACTTAGAATATTTTTGTGATTTATTGATAATCATTGTTGTATATTTGATCAGGATAATCAACACTTAGAATGTGAGGCGCGGTGTACAACTCCATTCGGTACAAGTCCCAGGTCCACAAAACAAAAACCTCCCCCCCCCCCAAAAAAATAGGTACTGACCTCACTGGAGTAGTGGACGGAAGGCAGAGGTAGGAAGTGGTAGCCTAGGGCTCGGTCCCAGATCATCCCCTTACTCCAAACCTCGATCAGCAGCCCTGTGTTTACATCGTTCGTCTCACTGGAAACAAATCAGGACAAAATATAATAGATTTATGGAAAAATTCTTTATAACATCTACAAGTATACGATGCATAAATTGGACAAGAAATAAGGATATCTCTAGTTATAGTGAAACGATTGTAGAGTTCCAACCGAGTGTAGGGTATTCAAACAATGTAGGTTTGAATAAGGAAAAATGCTTTTTGGGTTCGAATCCCGTCCTGTGTGGCAAATAATTGGTGACCTGTGTGTTTGTAGCGATATACTATAACCACTGGGGCATAGTGAGGTGTTCATAATCCTTGGTTTAGACATACACCTCGAAATCATCGGATTGGGCGAATCTTTTAGCTAAGTGGTTGTTAGTGTATCCTATGAACATGCAGGTCACCAATGGCCGTTTTGCTATTTTTTTAAAAAAAACCTTCCTCTCTATATCCCTTAGAGATTTTTTAAAACAACGATATATCGTTTCATAGCACTGAAAGGGTTAACTAGTCCTGTCTAATGTGATCATCTAAATTTTCACGATATATGTTCATGGTGTAAATGTTATATTAACATTTTTAGAACTTTGGTGAGAAGTCTGTAAACATGCCTCCACAGCAGCCTTACGGTCCTCCTCCAGCTGCTTTGTCTTACAACATTCCTCCAGCTGATGACCTACTGCCCAGCTACGACCTAGCTATGAAACCATCCAACATCCCGCAGGTAAATCATCCTGTACAACATTAAGAAACCATGACTTGCGTAGCTTAGTACTGATTGGTCACAGGTAACTTAGCTGTGTAACTCATATTTGTTGGACATCTGTTCATCCAAGACTTGTCAGGCACACATACAATGATAGGTCTACTCTTAACACATAACACACAATTGTTTTATAAAGATGTTTTAGGGGTGAAAAACTTATTGAACAGATAACAATGATGAGTTGAGCCCACCTAATACACTCATCAACTTTTTCACCTACAAACGTGTCATTTAGGAACTACAATGGCACTGGCTATATTTATCAAAATTACATTGCTTAGCATCTATGTTCTATATATTTAATTCAGTCTAGAACCTTGATATAACAAGTTTTTTTAAAATCCTCTAGAACTCTCCATAAGACATCATGTATATTTTACCTCTACATAACAGACAAACCATATCAACAACCTTGATTTAACGAATTTTTGGCTTTGTGAAAATTAATGGACAGGTGGCGTCAATGCTTGCGCTGACAATCATCTGCTCTGTTTTATGAATCTGTGTTCTGTGACAACTGATTGCATTAGCTAGGGACTGACGAGGACCTAAAGCTTGTCGATACTGTGTGCAAACTGTGTGCGATAAGTAGTAAATTGTTGAATTTATGGTTGAAGAGAAACCTAAAAAGAGTAGAAAAACGAAGAGAAAGAATAGTAACATCGTTATCTTATTATTCTTTTACGTGTAGTTTTATTATCTTAAACTATGGAAACACCAATGTCAGTTGATTATTATTATTGACATTCCTTTGTTGTAGTTTTAAAGCAGTACGCAAGCCTATCGGCCTATCACAAGCAGTTAGCTTACAAAAATCTCTACTGTTTTGTTTGTTCTTCACGTGATTTATTGCTTTATGAAAAATATGGCGTGCCTCAGGGGTCTGTTCTAGGCCCTATGTTACTTTTAATTTGTATTAACGACCTCCCAGAAGTATATCTAGTAAAACTAATTTGTATGCAGATGACACAACATTTTTAAAATATTAATCCCGATCTTTAAGAACTTCAAGATGTTCAACCTCTATGATTATTTAATTATTATTTAACCATATGTTTTTATTTACTTTCTTTAATAATATTGTCTTGTATTAATGTCTTTATTAAAAACAGTTTAGTTTCTTTTGATCTTTAAATTTTAATCTAAATAAGAAATAGAACATGGCGCAGTCGAATGAAGAACCCGTATCCCTGAACATTAAGCCTCCTGAAGCCTTTTCCTTCAATCCTCACGACTGGAAGACATGGAAGACTCGCTTTGAGAGGTATTATTCCCTTAGCAATTTAGCTCTACATTCTGGTACGCATCAGATTGACATGCTTATATCCTGTATGGGGGAAAAGGGAGAGGATATACTTAACTCATTCAGGTTAAATGACAATGACAAATCTAATTACAAAGTTGTTCTAAAGAAGTTTGACGATCATTTCCTTCCAAAAAAGAACCTAATTTTTGAACGGGCTAGGTTTCTAAAACTTAAACAGGGTTCCATGCCGATTGAGAACTTCATCACAGACCTTCACAATCATGCAAAAAACTGTGATTGGGGTCAGATTGAAGAGGAGATGATTCTGATGGTTTTGATTATTGGTATGCAGGACGAATCACTAAGTGATCGTCTTCAACTTGAACCCGAATTAAAACTTAACACAGCTATTAACACTATCCGTAGATCTGAAGAACTAACAAGACAGAAACAAACACTAAACTTGGCTGACATAGCATTAATAAACCAAAACACTCAACATTTAAGTAAATCAAACATATTTCCCTTTAATGGATCAAAGACCTAAAAAGAGAGGGGATTATTATCAGCTTAGGACAAGAGCCAAGGTCATACTGGGTTAAGACAGGAAACACTACGTTGAGAAGGAATCGACACCACCTTTTGCCTTACAAAGGTAATACAACCAAACCGAACAATCCTATTCCTTTATCCATTAAAGATACAATACCAGATACTCTGCCATTTACTACTGTTACTCAAACCAACTCGTCCCTATCAAATACTACTGAAAAAGTAACTACTACTCCATCTAGAAGACCCCAAGATTACAGTAAATCTTTTTCACGATCAACAATTCCCAATCAAGAAGCTGCAATTAAAAAATCATCAAGAGGCAGAATTATAAGACCAACCAAACGATTTCCTGAATAAACTTTGAGAAAAAAAAACTCAAAGGGAAAGATGTTCAACCTCTATGATTATTTAATTATTATTTAACCATATGTTTTTATTTACTTTCTTTAATAATATTGTCTTGTATTAATGTCTTGATTAAAAACAGTTTAGTTTCTTTTGATCTTTTAATTTTAATCTAAATAAGAAATAGAACACAAGAGTTAGCTCAAAACTCAACTAATGAAGCCTCTATCTGGTTTGAATCTAATGGCTTCCTCTTAAATAAAGAAAAAACTCAAAAAATTATTTTTGGCCTTAGGCCGTGCAAATTAAATACGTTGGATGGCTATGTAGACAATGTTAAATTTCTTGGTATTTATCTGGATAAGACTCTTTCTTGAGGACCTCATATCGATTACATAAGTTTTAAGCTTTCAAGGGTAATTTGTCTTATGACTAATACATTGTATGGATCAAAATTATATTAAAACAGCCTACTTTGCTTATTTTCAATCCATTTTTAGATACAATATTATCATTATCTTTTACGGCAATTGCAGTAGGATAGAGGAAATTTGAGTCTTACAAAAGAAGTTGGTTAGAATGATATCTTATGAACCCCTTACAGGAACACTGTAAACCCCTGTTAATTCAGCTACAAATTCCAGCAGTGATTAACATTTATTTATTTGACTTTGTATCATACATTCTAAAAAATCCCAACCTAATCAAACAAAATTCTCATGTTCATAATACAAGGAATAAAAAAGTTGCTACCATAGACTTTTTCAGACTGTCTAAAATTCTTAAAAGCCATATTGTAATCTCACTAAAAATATACAACAAGCTAATACATTTATTACGAAAATATCCTGAAAAAACCTTATAAACCAAATTTACAGGTGGGTTTTGAACAACCCCTTCTATTCCCTAAACAAATTTTTTTTTCTAATACCTGGTATTCATTTTTAAGTAGAGTTAGCAAATTGACCAAAGTACCGTTGGATTTTGTTGGTTATGGGGTTTAATCATTTCCGTTATTCTAAATTCCACAATTATTTCTCAAGAATAAGATTATTCAATTGTAATATTTAAAATATGTATTGTAACATGTCTCATTTTGTCTAATTAGCTATATTGTATTTTTTAACTGACTATGCTATAACTTTAGCTGTTTTATGACATTGTCAATAGTTTTTAGAAATTCAAAGGACAATAAACACATTTCATTTCATAAAAATGTGCAATTTGTGCATCGGTCCCCTCATAATTATTTTTCTTATACACTTTTTACAGCAGAACTAATGAATGAATGAATTTGATTTTGTAAAACTATCTGTAAGTCATGGATTTTATGAAGAAACCGTTCAATATAAATAGCATTTGTATTTCTTCTGTTTTTTGTAATCTAAAATTTACATTCTAAATAAGTAGACTAATTTCACATTTTATGTTTCAGAACTTTCCACCAATGCCACAACATGGAATGCCACAACCCGGAATGCAACAACCTGGAATGCCACAACCCGGAATGCCACAACCCGGAATGCCACAACCCGGAATGCCACAACCCGGAATGCCACAACCTAGAATGCCACAATCTGGTATGCCAAGCCCTTACAGAGGCAACAATTCTCAGGTAAGACGATGAGTAGTTATCGCCAGTTCTGTTCTCCTAACAACTGTTCTAAACAAACATAATCTTGAAAAGGTAAATGGGTATTGCCCTGGATTTAGTTTGCCTCGTAATCAGATGTTGGGCCCTATAAACTGCTCAATTAGCATAGGGCTCCCCCCGTTCACTATTATTGTAATATATTAGATTGCATATCACACGTGATCTTGTGTTCTAAAAAGGTGTCATTTTTGTGTTTTATTGCACATGGTAACACATAAAAGCAAGCAGTACAGGCCATATTGATAAAAATGCACAATCACAATATTCTAATTTATTTTCATTTTTAACTAGGATTTTTCTCCGTTACATCAGCCTGGTCCAACACAACATCCTCATCAGGTAAATTGATTTTTTATTCCATTTTGAATTGTAAATCCATTGTATAAGAAAACCATTAATTGAACTGTACATTATCTAAAAGTGGGAAGTTTAAAACTTATTTGTTTTTCAGGAAAATAAGTTAGATTGTTTTAAAATTGAGGAATCTGATTTTTTATCCTTTTTTTTGTTCATAGACAAAATAACCAACATACTTTAGCTAATTTTAAATAGAAGTTTTTGTTTATTGAATGAGTTAACTAATGCTGTTTAATAATTTAAATTAAGACAAATATGACTTTAAAAACTCAGTCATATACTGTTAATAATACCAAGTCTTTAAACAAAACAAAATAGTAGTTTACACAACGATTGCGTAAGGATAGTGTTAACGACACCTTAAAAACTTCTACGAGTGTCGTTAACACTATTTACGCCAGTTGCGTACACTAATTTACCTACGACATTGTTTTAATACTAGAAATACTACTCATAAAGATTTAAGAGAGGTTATGTTTTTGTTTATAACCTCTCATTGCCACTGACAGTGATGCAACGAAATATTGTACCAAAAGTAAAGTAAGTTTTATGCTGTTATGAAAGTCAACATATTATGTTGAAAAAGGTATGCTTTAACTTTTTACAGAATTTACCGAGTGTACCATCAAGCCAGCATGGTACCACAGATAGAAACAAACAGGTAAGAAATTACATTTGAAAATGTAGGTAGTTATATTCTTAAGCTTGATAATGAAATTTGTTGTGAATTGAAATACCCTTGTCACGGCAAATCTGCATGATGAGCCAACTAAGCAAATTAATAGCTATATTTGAGTGTTTATTTGGACATGTTCTTAATGTATTAATACAGAAAATTTACATTTTTATTCACAGTATTCTAATTGATCAATTCTATTCACTAATTTTCCCTCCTAATGCGCCATAAAGTAACCTACAACATTGTATGTTTTCTGTGAAGTTTGTTTCTGTTAACTGATATTTTATTTCCATTGGATTCCAGCCTCCTAATCGCATCTAAATACCATAGTAGTGTAAATAACTGCATTCATGTGATCTAGAACTTAACAGTAGGACAACTAGTTTCAACTCACTTTGAAGTCATCATCAGGCCAGTACTAGATGCCTCGTCGCTTCGTTTGAAGGCTATAACATTAAAAATAAATAGAGCACATATTAAATGTGTACTCTCATAAAATATGAACATTTAAGTAATAAAGGAGAACTTGATTCTCATTTACCGTCATACAAATGATCATATTTCTTGTTCATGTGTGTTTTCTAACTGTTTATGTTGACGACCTTCAATTAAAGTGACAAGACATCTAGCAGTGGTCTGATGATGACTCCGATGTGGGTTGAAACTAGTTGTCCTACTGTTAAGTTCTAGCCTAGATTGCATGAATGCAGGTTTTTACACCAATTTATGATATTTTATGTAAATAAATAATTTCGTTATAAAAAAATGTTAAGTATCTCTGATTTAAGTTTGTACTTTCAGAGTAATCAGACTCCAAAACCTCTTCCTCGAGCCAAGCTCACTCCCCCAGACAATTTGCCTGAGCTGCCCAATGTTCCTAGTGACACGATTGCTGGCGGCACCACCCACAACGATAGTTCTGACGAGATCGATTTTGACGATTTGGCTCGCAGATTCGAGGAACTGAAGAAAAGGCAGTAAACAAAAAATAATTAATTTTGGTATTTGTCTTTAATATTTTATGATCAAGTTCTACCTAGTAACAGAACAGTCTACAGGTTTTTACTTGAAATATGTGGGATATTTTATGACACATTATGGTAACGGCTTCATTAAATATTTTTATCTGTATGAAAAATAGCTAAGGTTTTATAACTGTAAAGTATGTTCAATATAAAAATAATTTATTCCACGTTAATACCCATATACCCAAAGGTACCAAAGTTTTTCCACCTCTGTAAAACATGACGGATTTAAATATAAACCTGGGTGGCTCAGGCAGTCATTGCAGACTATTGACAAGTGGTTCATAATACTTAAAAAAATTGCATTAAAAGACCACTTGTACGCTTATTTTTCTTTGTTAATATTTCTTTACTAATGTTTTTTATAATCAAGTAAGTATTACTGTGTTATGTGAAGTTGATTTTATCAAAATATTTATATTTATAGATCAAACATTATTTTATTGTAATAAAGCTTTCAAAAAGCAAGCATTTTTTATTTCCTGTGTCATGCCAGTTGATTAATAAACACTAGTTATTCTGAGGTGGCGTCAAATGTCAGTTTAATGAGGCTTCTTGTTGAACACCTAAATGGTTTACCACGTATATGGAACATAATATAGGCTAATATGGTAAAAAGTGGATGCAGATTTTCCAATTGTTTTGTTAGGCCTACATTGTTGTACATCTTGTGATAGGTATGTTAGATAAACCCCAAGCGACCACAAAAATCTATAAAATTGACATATCTGCATAATATCCTTCATTCGTAAATTATTTTATCAGCATTACTGTATTTGCAATTCTTTATCTTCTATATAGGAGTGAAAATTTAAAAACGTACGTTTTCATGTCCCTGGCCTTTTACTTCGTAGATACTGGATTTGTAGTTTATTATTATGTGTTTTAATATTTTTTGGGACGGGGGCAACATGTTACACACATTTATTTGGTTTTAGATAGGTTCTAGGTATTTTTTTTGTATTTTTAAAGTCTCGAAATTCACGACCATGACGTGTCCCTAGGGTACATTTTCCAACTTTCACGCTGTTTTTAGACTCATTCATGCCGAAATATATAAAGCCATATTTTTATGTCATCAATAGTTAAACTTACAAAAAAGGAGCATATTATAATTTTATTGTCATTGCAAAATGACTACCATGACAAAATAAGTCTGTCCCTCGATTTGGCGTCACGAACATTTGGGAAAAATTTTCAACTTTGGAGCACGACAGTGGCAAGCCTGGTGTCGATTGCGTCAGTTCGTTTTAGAGAATTGTTCGGGGTGTACGTCAAGTTTGTTGTGCCGGTCGTTTTGTGTTGAAAGAAGTAGTTACAAGATTAATACAGGTAAGTTTGTGTTTTTTGTAATTTTGGTGTGTCCGTGACCGTACGTAGTCATTTGATGAAGTAGACGTGGTGTTAATTTTTGTTGATATGATATTTCAATTGCTACATTAACCTAGAAGTCCACTTTGTATCCTCGAACATGAGGTGCAGTTCTACCGCCTGAACAGAGCCAAATAACACGTAATGTCACGACCATCGAGGGGGTTTTCACAACCAATCCATTGGTCGTGTCAATAACTTAAATATCGTTGTAAATTGAACTGTTTAGTTCAATTGAAACACATATTTTCATTATTATAACTAACAGTATAATTGAAGGATTGTTTAGAAAGATTTAGATTGATCCAGACAATTCACGACCGTACCAATTGTCCCTGACCATCACGTTTATGATTTCTATCATAAAATTTCAAAAATTAAAATATCATATTTCAATGTTTTATACACAAAAGAAGCACACCTCTATAAAAACATAACGATTTTTCGGGTCTCAGGTACGTTTTTTTGGAGTTATACAAACTTAAAAGAGTTTATTGGCTTTTTTCAATTTTTTAGTTTTTTTATTGTTTTCTGGAAAGACCAAATATACCAAAAGCTTAGTGAGCTGTTTATTGTATAATGACCATAAAATTAAATTAATTTATAGCAAAACATAGTTATAGAAATAATATTAACTATTTTTAATATTCAGTTTTATGTCCGTGATGGTCGTGACAAAATTTGGTGTTTTCCCATCAAAGATGCTATATTAATAAAAAATCACCAAAGATATTGCGTTACCATGGACATTTTATGAAACTTCAAATGTCAATGAAATAAAAAAAAAGTTTCAAAAAACGGAACAAAAAATTTTAAAAGTGCTTTTCCTGAAAACTTACGTTTTTAAATTTCCACTCTAGTACTTCATTTTGATAGGGAACTCATTTTTGGGCACCATCTTGGATCCGCCATATTGGATATAAATAAAAAAAATTTAAATGTAATGATATCGTTGTGACACACTATTATGAACTAGATTTTCACCCCAATTTCAATGCCAAAATCCGTTTTGAATATCTGTTTACTTTTTGAAGATATATTCAAAAGAAAACTATCCCCCATACATTTCTTATGGACGTTTCGTAATTTTTTTTAGGGAGAGGAGGGAAAATGCTTTTACGCACACAGGTAGCCAGCCTGTAGTGTGAGACTCCTGAAATTATAAGACACTACTCACTAAAATCCCCCTCTACTCTGTTGGACTCAGACCTGGAATTGTTTGTCACATTACTTCAAGTCAGGCCAACATGTGACCTAAAGGTACGTTTTGCTTGGAGCGACGTCACACCTGTCGCTTCAAGCAAAACGTACCTTAAGCCCTCAGTGCTCGCACAGTTTCTGGCATTTAGATTTTTTATGACCTACACCGCATCCCGGTCAAGGTTGAGCTTCTTGGCACGTAGAATACCCTGGATGTAATGTGACACACAGGTCCTATTGTCCTCACCCTCCATCATCATCGGCATGACCGTGTCCACCGACAGCAGTCCTACCGTCCTACTAACTGTTGAGCCTCCAGGCCGGGCCTTTCCCAGCGCTGGCAGTGGAAAAATGTATGTTCCACGTCATCGAGAATGCCTGGGCAGTATATGCAATCGGGTGACACGGCTTTGCCCATCCTGAACAGGTACGGTGAGGTAGAAGGTTGGATTTGCTGTATCAGTCGCCTGGTCCAGCGTCCCCGAGTCTCCTGTTCCCAGCTCTCCTGTCACAGCTGGTAGGTGCGGGTGCGTTCCTCTGTTTGTGCCTGGTCCTCCCCACGGCGCTGGTAAATTGCCTTTCTCTCCGCCGTTTCTATATTCTAGTGTAGCGGCCAGCATCTGGGACTTCGGTGCTGGAGGGATGGGTCAATCCCCGACACATTTATTAAACATTTAACGGGCTTGGGCCACACCACTTTCCCCTAAGCTTTAAAGCATTTAACTTAATTACAAAATTGCCTCTGACAAAAAAAAACAAAGTACCCGTATTTCAATCTTTCAATGGACCCCTTATTAGCTCGATTGGCTCATAAAGATACTTCCATAATATATCATCACCATCAGTAGGCCCAGCAAAGGAGTATACCTATAACCATAGGATAGATTCTTAAGGGAGTGCATTTAATTAATGATTAATTCAATGCTGTCATATGTTCCCATTAGCATAAAGGCATAGACACATACTCAAAATGTAAATAGTACATCATTTGATTTCCAACAACCATTAAATTGCCATGTTTTTATATGATATGAGTAAGGTTTTCATCTAATCTTTATTGGCTTTTCCATTTGTGCAAAAGCTCATTTGGGGCGAACTACATGAAGATGGAGAGTGTCTGAGAAGAGATGAGAAGAAGAAGAAGAAGTCAAAGTCCTTTAATGGTGGAACATGTCTTTTTAGTAAAGTTTAGTGATGGGCGATACGGACGCGTATCGCGATACAGCGATACGATACGTATCGGAAAAAAATATCGTATCGCTATATTGAATCGGGCATCTGTATCGCGATACGCGAATCGTATCGTCAAAAATATCGAAAAACGATACGTATCGTATCGTTTCCCCCCTCCCCTACCTAACCTAGAAACGGCTAATTTATTTAAGTACCTGGGGACCGAGCATTGCTCGAAGAAAATCATTATTCTACAGAATCATTAATCACAATCATTAATCTACAGAAAGTTTTTGTAGTACGATTTGACAATGACGCTTTGACGTCGAAACGCGCGTAATCCTATTTTTTGGACACATGGATCACTTGGCGATCAAGGTAATGTAACCTTATATATATATAGAAAATCATTAGTTTACTCTGAAAACAGTCTAAGTATTGCAGATACATTAATCCATTCCCACACTGCTCGCCTTTACTACTTCCTTCACAACTCCCTACGTCTTGGACCTGTTTCCCTTTCCTTCCCATAGCATTTTAGGTAATGTAATGTAATTGCCACAGACAGTTGACAGTTCCCACACTCTGCACTGCACTGCTAGTGTTAGGCTAGATAGAACGCTAGTGGAAATGGACTGGAGACTGGACTGGGATGGGATGGGACTGGTACGTTATCATCAAGTAAAAACCAATAATATAGACGCTAGATAGAACGCTAGTGAAAATGGACTGGAGGAGACTGGACTGGGATGGGACTGGTACATTATCAAGTAAAAACCAAAAATATAGACGTCACAAACTCCTATTTCAAACTACACATCCACAGAGTACAGATTTTGCAGTTTGCTCGGCCTGCGCAAAAAAAGCTTAAAAATATCGTTTTGACATGAATCGTATCGCTCTATGTGCCGATATAAATACAAATATCGTTTTAGGCGATACGATACGTATCGTTTTTTAAATATCGTATCGAAATATCGTATCGTCCCTCGCGTATCGCGATATTCCGATGCGATACGATACGTATCGCACATCACTAGTAAAGTTATGGCAGAAGAATTTTAAATAAACATCATGGATAAATTACAGGTAAGTCGAATTAATTTTAGTTATTAATCTTTACATAATTACAAGAAGGAGAATCTCTTGACAATTGCAACTCCCTATTCCCTATAATATCGTGGTGTTTCAAGCAGAATGAAGTGCATGATTTGCGTTTTAGTACGGCTCGAGAGAAAATTTATTTGGCGCACGTGGGAGAAGTGTTATTTAAATTTACAATTCAATTTAGTTGTGCAACGTTCTTAAATTGCAATTTTCATTATTTGACATCAGATGCGTATTTAATTTTCAGTACGTGGTTCTTATCCACTCAAATTGGGTCCAGCCATCTTTAGATAAATAATGTCCTTAGGCTAGGATGATGCAAACCTGAAATATTAGGTTTTATTAATACTAAGCCAAAGACCTAGGCCTATCTCTTCCTCAATAAATTTACCAAATGGCTACGAGCCTACCTTAGTGCAGAATGACATGCATTTTGCTAAGCTAAGGCTCTGGCTCTTGAACTTAAGTTATTATACTATCTGGTGTCTATTGAGTTATGACTGGGATAAGAGAGGGCTTAAACTTAGGGACCTTTAGCTACCAAAAGTTAGCTTTAGCTACAAAGTAAATGTCATTGACTTCATTCATCACTTAACTCAACACGTTGAGTGCTGCAGTTCCCGATCGGGTAAGGCGCTTGGCCCCCGTACGGTGCGTCCGCACCCCATCGGGAACGCTTGGCAATGCCTTTTTGTATTTCTTTGTTTTTGCTCTAGCGTCGGCTGAAAGCGGACCTATACCACGTTAGCAAGTAGCCTAGTATGTGACTTGCATTTTGTTGTGGTGTAGGTTGGTAGTAAATTAGGCCTACCCCGTAAAATCCCCGTCTGGCAATCTCAAAAATCTACTTTTTGTCCCGACTTTTTCCCTCCATTTAGCAATACAATTCCAATGGGACTGGCTACGTTCCAAGCAGTGCTGCTAAGGTAAACAGCCCCAATACCGGCAGGGGCCCAAATACCGGCAGCGGTGACTTCTACTTCATTTAACAACACTTTTAACATTTGAAATAGCCATCTTATTTGTTATTGGCTGTTATATCAACTACTCATCTGTAGAAAAAAACAATTATAACACCTGATTGGCCTATTTCACGCATTTAGTGTCAGTTAGAATGTTGGTAGGTTAAGAATTTGTGCTGTCAACTAGTTTTCTTCTTGATTTCTCTAAGAATACAAGTGATTGAAATAAGCTTTTACTTTAATAAATTACGATTCTTCACTAAAAATTGAATATTTAATTGATCATAACCCCATAACTAACCTAACTAACTGTATTTCGCCCTGGAAGATTACAAAATAAATTTATAAAACGTCTGCCGGCGATGGGGAGGTCATAAATTGGACTTGTCCTAATTCCGGCATACTTGTCCGGTTATTGGAATCAGCGCTACCTATTCATGCCGTTTTTGTTAACTTTTACTTTAAATAATGACTATCCCTGCTATAAAAATGGTCTTCAGGTACTTTTTAAGTAAGTTAGGCCTAGTTTACGTAATGCTGAAACTAGGCCTAAATGCAAACATTACAGGCACTAGGCCCATAAGGATGTCAACCATTTGCTAACTTAAGATGAATAATATGGTAAAAACTAAGTTAGGCTAATTTTCTGATCAATTTCAAATTTTAGTGTTGGATTACTAAGTTATGATAGAAATCACCATATTTTATTATAGGAATGAAAGATATAGCCTCAAAGCTCTTAACACTTTGCACAGCCTTTAGAACATCCCCTAGGTGAGGTCATTGCACAATGCACACCACTCCTGTTGAGGAATGTTAAATGCACCCTAAGCTGTTATTAGGAGAAATGTTTGCATGAGGTCATTGCATTCCCACCAAGGACTAACTTGGGAATGGATTGCACCCTAAGCTGGGGTAAGGTGGAATATTTGGATGAGGTCATTGCATTCCCACTAATGTTAAGGAATGGCATCCACCCTAAGCTGGGATCAGGTGGAATGTTTGCATGAGCCATTGCATGAAATAGTTGTAAAGAAACTTTACTCAGCCGTCCAAAGATAAGAAAATGCATCTGATCATTTGAAAGCTAGTCAATATATACAATTTATCTGGCCAATATGTGCTTAAATACACTTAACTTAAGGTGTATACACAGGGTGCCGGTATTAGGCCGGCGGATGCTGGAATTAGGGTTATGCCATGCCGGAATTGGGCAAAGGAGGTAAAAAATAAGGTAGGCTACGTAAAGTAAATCTCTTATATACAATTTATTTTATGAAATATTTTTATAAAAAGTGTTTTTTTTTTTCCTAGAAATGTGTAGGTCTGTATAAAATCAGTCCCATGCTGATAAGTTATTGGCTTCTCCCTTTAAAAAAAAATATTTATTGAAGAGTTTACCTTAACCTGCCGGAATTGGGGCTGTTTACTGTATCTGTGGGTGTTTAGCGAACTACGTCGACTCTCGTTGTAAAGCAGGACATCCCCGCACGTTATTTGCTATTCGTCAGACCAAAATTGGAAAGCCCATCACACGCAGCAATCGGGTTTGTTCGACGCTGAGGGCAGCACCGCACTGGGGATACGCCCGCTATTTGACGTGCCGCAGCGAACGTGTTAAGTTAACCAAATGGAATGCCTACTTTCATCTCCATTTAAATGTCAATTATAATGATCAGTACGTTAACTTAATGACCAAATGAAGTTTTAATGCTTGCCTAAGCTCCCCAAGACCACTGAAACTTAACCCTTGATCTGGCAAGGGTCGATTATCGACCACTAAGGGCCCTTTCACAGGAGGCCACTGGTGGCAGCAAGCGGTGTCCGCCAGTGCTTACCAGCCAGGCAACTGCAGTGGATGGTACAGGCAACTAACAGGCCACTCCACCAACAAACACCATAGGCCTACAATAGTTGAGAAAATGCTGACGAGCAATGCTCATCTTCTCGTGTTAAAATCGCAATGAATCTTATACTATTAGAAAGATGAGATTCTTAACTGTACAATTTATTTTCCTGTAGGGGCCTATAAAACATTATTGAGGGGGTATCTTGCAGCGTGAAACACAGTTTGAAAAACTAGAGAGTTCAAAATAGATTTTGGCGGTGGAAAGTTTCGGTCACCTGACAATTATTGCTAACAATTAAATCACTGTTTTGGCGGTCGACAATTAAATTGTACATTCTGAAACTACAATAGCCTTAATTCCCAACAATTCCCTCTGCATATATGATGTTGATGGTAAAAATTGTATTTGGTCATGTCATACCAGTAAATACTATGGTTTTGCAAACAAATCTTCAAAATTTTACATTCCGACGTAAATCACTCAGAAATGTTAGAATTCAACTAGCCTACAGTAGGCCTACATATAACTAAGTAGGCTATATATTTTCAGCTTTTATTTTCTAATGCAGTAGGCTATCATATTTATTTTATGTTGATGCACTAATTATTTCCTACATAAAAAAATAATAACTTTAGTTTTTCAAAAAAGAAAATATGTAGGCCTAAGGCCTATGTAAGTTATAATTTCTTTTTTTATAATTTTATTTTTACCTATGTGTAATTATTTTAAAAACATTGGATATGTAGGGAACCATATTTCATACAACCTTTACATTTAGCCTAGATAAAATGTGTAAACAAATTATTTTGTGGTTTTTTTGTGGGTTGCTTTTGAAGTTTTCTAATTTGAATTTAGTCCGAAAATTCAGAAACCTTTTGCTACTAGGTACGCCTAAACGAATTGCTATAGAACAAAATTATTTTTAAATCACTATCCTTTTTAACCTATTCTACTTATCACTGAAACAGAAGTAGGTACACATAAGTTAGGCTTAACATTTAAACAAACAAACAAAGTTAGGCTACAACATTTTTCTCCATAAGATAACATGGTAATTTTAAATAATTTACCTAGCCTTACCTAATACCAATTTTAGAAATTGTTTTTAATAATTATAATATTTTTAAATAGGCCTACCTAATTACAATAATGCAGATGTGTACCTAGCTACAAAATTGTTTTTTCGCTAGGTAAGGTAATATAAGTTTATATAAGTTTATGGCTGCAAAAAAATAGGGGACTACAGTGCAGCCTCAATAGGATAAGGAATGAATCTTTATAAAAAAATTACTACTCAATGTAACATGTTTCCTACGACCTCTTCATAACTAATGTACAGGAGACATGAAAGCTAGTCATAGTACTACAATCTGTATTTGTTAGGCTATACGAGTTTACTTGAGCGCTAAATGTACAATTAATACCTTTATAAATAAAACTTACAATAGTAGAAACTCTCTAGCAAGGCTCTCAATTGCTTTTGCATAAAAACTGTGAAATTGAAAACATTAACTTTAAACATGGCATTTTTTGTATGGGCCAGAAATTTTTTTGTTTTACATGGCTATTTTGAATTTTAAACTTCACGTTTTCCCTCGTTCGATGGCGTCTACCTGGTCGAGCGGTTGTGCCAATCGTGCCTTTTCCAAGCAGGCGAGTTGACCCTACTTATTCCGCTCAAATGATTGTGCCAATACTGCCATGAGCAAAAGATCCAAAAATGTGTGCCAATCGTCCCGTTCCCTCCCCAATAAAATCTGCAAATTAAAATTCAAAATCAGGGTAGGCGGTAGACCTTCTTGATTGATACTAAATTTTACCCTAGAGACATACTTGCATGAAAACTAGATATCATATAGGCCTATCCTCTAATTAATTTCTTTTACTAAACCAACCCCACAATTTTTAAGAACTGATTGCTATAAACAAATGCTTATTGCCAAGGCAAAACCACAATTAAGATTTGACTCCAAAAAAACTAATAAAACTCCACAATTAAATGGAGGCTGTTAAACTGTTTAATCTTTTAAGTTCAGCTCAAAAGTTAAAATCAATTGCCTGGCCTAAGTTAAATAATCCAAAACTTGTTAAAGTACCCCTAATAAAAAAATGAAACAGTAGACTAACCTAAAAATAAGTTAACTTAGGTGCCTCCATATTCTTGAAAAATCATAACTTAACTTACTAATTTATTCCATAAGTTACATTAACCAAATTTTATGATGATCACAAATTTGTCAACATAGACCACAAAAAGGGCTCAAACTAACCTAAATCTCACCACCTGGCCTACTTCATCTAAGCTACAATGACTTAAGTATTAGCATAGATAAAACCATAGATAAATCATACTCCCTTAGTAGATATGTCATCCTTATGGAACAGCTGAAGCTAATTTTATTGTTTGTTCTGTACGTCCAACTGTAGAGGTTATGTTTTGTTTACAATTTTTTTCTTGTTATTTCAGTTATTTAAAACATAATTTAACTAAATAAAACGATTTAATCATAAACAATAACTGGTCTCCTAGTTATATAACCAAATAGTAAAGCACAAATCATGAAAATAACCCTAAAATAATAGAAACAAAATGTTGTCTACCCCAGCAATCAGTGTGGACGTACATGAACTAGACACAAATAACAAGCTTCAAAATTTACAATGGGATGAGGAGTCTACTTGTGTTGCTTAGTCTATGATAAAACATACTCCCTTAGTAGATTTCTCATCCTTATGGAACAGCTGAAGACAATTTTATTGTTAGTTCTGTACGGTTTATGTAGAGGTCGTGTTTTGTTTACAATTTTTTCCCGTTATTACAGCCATTTAAAACCTCGTTTAACCAAATAATACGATCTAATCATAAACAATAACTTGTCCCCTAGTTATATAACCAAACAGTAAAGCACAAATCAAGAAATTAACCCTAAAATAATAGAAACAAAGTTTCGTCGACACTAGCGCCCATGTGTCACGTACATGAACTAGACACGAAAAACGTGCTTCAAAATTTACAATGGGATGAGAAGACTACTTGTGTTGGTTAGTCTATGGTATTAGCACTGACTATATATACCTTATATAGTCAATGGTATTAGGCAGATGACTACTCCCCGAATGATCTAATTAAAGACTGGAGGCGAAGGGGACATCACTTTAGGTAACTTCAATGGCAAATACATTTACATAACGGTAATTTAAATATTTTATTTGCTCATCCCAAGACTGCTAAGAATGTCAATAAGTATCTGGTTTATATTTTTATAAGTTGTGAAGTTACAGTAGGCCTAATAACTTAATAAAAATCATCCTAAGTGCAACATCGTATCTAGGCTAGTGATTGGGGGGGGGGGGGGGGGGGGGAGATTGAGAAACATCAAAATTTCAAAATACATTATTTAACCCCAACCAAATAATGATCGTCTGGTGCGTTGGGCTTCACCCTGTAGCCGCCTCTCGGGAAGGCTTGAGTTTCCAATAACCTTAACCCTAGATCTGGTGGTTCCCATTGTAGTGGTACCATATATTTTGCCACGGAACAGTTGTTTGTAAATTATAAGTACACAAGTAGACTCTAGGCCTACTTAAATATAGTCAATCTAAAAATGTCTATCCCACTATGTACCTTATATATCTATCTTCATTACAAAACGCATCTTTTAGTAGACAGTTACAAATAACAGAAAGACTTGACAACTTCAGTGGCAATGGACTTAACTTTTTAAATCTGTACACACAACTAATTTATTGAACAGAAAATATTCTTTTTTATACAGTCGAACCAAAACTACCTGCAATTTATATGATAGCCTAGTAAAGTTGAAATGTTAAGTCTTTGCAAGAAAACATGAATTAAAATCCAATAATGGGTTGATTTAATTGATTTATGTAAATTTAAAAATGAATTCAGTGAGTGTGAGAGCAAATTGAATGGTTTGACCTGTCAAGGTGAGTGATTCATTTTATACAGCGACTTCTGTTTCATGCTTTTGTTTTGCCTGCATGTCAAATAAAGTAATATCTGTAAACTATTTCTTTAATTATTTTTATCACCATACAGTTGACTTCCTAATGTCCTCTTTGTTATTAAACGGATTTGTCGGCCTGTCCTTAACTATGAATTAACAAAGCAATAATTTGGGCTTACCTAATTGTTTACTCTGTTGAATTAATAGAAACCTGTGAGCAAATGTAATTTTTGTAGTAAACATTTACAGACTGTTTTGATATTTGTACAGTATAATATATTTCCATCTGCATTCAGTCTTGAAATTGGAGAAGGGGTAAGGGTGTGGTCAGAATGCAAAAGGTCAATTGCCAGCAAGATCCATAAACAATGGCTGTACCTATTCAAAGATTTATGATGGGTTTCGGAAGGTTGTGAACGAATTAATTTAAAAGGGAAAACAAATTAAATAAAACATGGTTTACAATTAAACACAATTTGACTCAGGTAGCAGTCAGTGTTTATTTACAAAAAGGAATGAAGAAACAACTATTGAGTGAAATGTAATCCTTCTTTTATGTAGGCTAATTTCTTTGGTACATAACATATGATGTATTGCAACTTTCATTCTGCCTGGTTTCATCTACAGTATTTCATTCACAGACCAGAACCCAGTGGCAGCTAGCCTTTAAGGACTCTCAGACGCCGCCCTCCCAACAATACATAGATAAATTACATTTTAATATTCTTCAGTTAAATTAAATTAAAATTACTTTAACGAGTACTTTAAACAATATACAACATAAATATATCAAATAATTGGATAATTCAATTCAGTAAAGACTTATTTTTGATCGTTGCTTGCTTAGTAAGGACGGCGCGGACGCGGCCAGACCGACCCAATCCCAATACATGTAGTCTTATGGCAGAACAACCGAACAGCACTGAGGGTGCCATGACGTCATTCCAATGCTTTAGTATGGGCGCTTTGGGGCAGAAACCAAAGTTGCGTGCACTCTTAATTCAGTGAAATTATGTATGGCAAGCTACCATTATGATGGGTAGAACTGATGTTGGCGCACCTGTTTGTCATTTAACTCAAACCATCTAATTTCTAAAACTAAAAAACAACTGCTCGATAACCTCAAAATGTTAATTTGGGTTTGGTGTTGTTGCTTTAATGAATAGTGATGTAGGAGTACTGTTCGTGCGTGTATTTAAGTAAAACACTAACTGTATACTTTATAAATTGATTTCACATGCAGTTAAGTTAATGGTAGGCCCTCCATTTCTGTTTAATTAATATTATTGAAGTACAATAGGTTTTTAGGTTAGGTACCGTTATAAGTTTGAATGCAATTTGTTTTTGTAAATTGTTTAACTTATTTGACTTTCTATTCCTTATTACCTTAGTTATTTTTATGGAATATTATCATTATTAAGTTAAATACAATAGCAGCCTTGGAAACAAGTTTAAATAAATACATATATCGTAGGCAAGGCCCATGTGTGTTTGTATTACAAATTAAAGCCTTAATTTTTTTTCAATTTCTTTCGTTTGTATATAAAAATATGCAGAGCCCTCCCAACACCTATGAACACCAGCTGCTACTGCCAGAACCTATTATAATAACCTACTGTAAATATGTTAATTGTGTGAAATTGCTGAAGTTGATTTCAAGCCATTGACCATAAACTGTTCTGAGTTATTGCTTCTATAGAATTGAGCAGAACCTACTGTGTCTACCGCAACTAAATTCCATCAAATTTGAATTACAGTATCATTTGTGTGAAAGATGGTCTTGCTAGCTATCAAACCATTGTGTATGTAAATTTTTTTTTTTTACTATACTGGCGCGATCTTGTAGTCTCGTCAGTGACTAAGGCCGACATATTCCTTAGACATAGCTGTTAATTAATAGCCCATACAGCTAATGGCAACTAAGGGACCTACAGTTTATAGTGGAATCCGAAACACATTTTTGCCTTGATATACACAAATTGGTCTAATTATTAGGATAGTACTGCGGATAGTCGTAGTACTCACTCGTGCTGACATTAATCCACAACAGAGAGTATCGCATCCACAGTGCATGCCTATAAATATCCACAATTCGTGACCTCCTAGTAGCTGGATTATAGGACGACGCCACCCGTCTTAGTCATAATCATTTGTTCAACCGTTCATCACTTTTAAGGCTAGTACAAATAGATTTTGCTTTAGTTTCCAATTCCACCACTATCACAAAAATAGAACCATAAATTTATAAAAAAGTTCACAAGACATGTGCAAATAACAAACTTTCCCTTTTATTCTCAAACTGATCCCTGATTAGTCAATATTTTTGTTTGGCAAGATCATCTCTCTTGTGTCATCTATTATGCTTATCAGGGGTCTTGGTGATTGTTTCAGTTCCTGGATTTGACAGACCTGAACCCCAATGATGAAGAGCAGCTCAACTCCATCTTGTTCAGCTGTGAGTGTCCCGGCGCAGTGGAGCTTCCCCCCGAGGCTCCCCCCGCCTGGGTTCAGCACCCGGTGCCCTACCGTAAGTATACAAATCATAGTCAGGCCAATAAATTAATGTTGAACATTTTAACAACAAAGGTTTCAGTCTGTTTCTGCATTGTACTAAGTACTGCTACAAAAAGAGCTAAATAAATTAAATGCTAGACCATCTCTTAATTTTATTTTAATTCTAATCAATCTTCTGCAATTTAGAGTTGGTTTGAAGTACTTGAATCTTTAAACTTAAATTAGTGTTCATGTTGATTAAGTGTTTCAAAAATACAAATTAAACTACACGCCTACTTTGGAGCTAGAAACCTCCTCTGCACAACTCAGATAAACTTACACAGGTCTCTGGCACATAGGAAGAAATTGTTTGATTGCTTGCCGTTTGTTCAAAATGTAGCTTATCTCAAAGAAGTATCTAAAATTGTGCTGACCATATTGTTATAAAGACTCAGGTAACTGTGGTTGTGTAGCCGAGATGACAGCTGTTGTTGAGATTCCACCTGCGTGTTGTACTGCTGCTTGGATCCCTGCTGGATATACCGGAGGTACTATGTGTGCCGTGGCTTACCCAGTAACCACCCCAACCTGAGCTTGTTTTGATTTCTGAGTTTTGGGATGGGCTGATGTGAGATTTTGCGATTAATTATATTTACAATATTCTCTTTTGATGCATCTTGTTATCAAAATGTTTCGTCTAACAATATTGTAATAGGCTAAGTGTGTACAGATCACGGACTAATAGTTTGTTGATGAATTTTTTAGTACCCAGGTTTGCTGATGTGGAGATGGGAAAGTTCTTAGCTGTTACCAATGTTTCTGCATTTTTTTCCAAGAGAGGAATTGTTTGCTTGTTTTAAAGTTAGAGAACCAGAGATTGAGCTTATCAGCTATTTTCATTACTCCCAACCAAAACTGTAAAGCACTGGAATATAGAATGAAATACAAAATTATCAAGGTAGACGAACATTGTCAACCCTTTCTACGGATAGTTAGGATATTACATATGTAAATTATCATGTTTCTTTGGTAAAAGTTACTTCTTGGTTGAACTGCGGCTTTGACGATTGATAGAAGAAAACATTCCATCCCCACGTTAAGGTGGCACCAGTTTTATAATCAACACGGACATAGTAGAATTGAGCTACCAACAGATTGCGCTGATTTAAAATTACTGATTTCTGTTTAATATACAGACTTTTTACCAAATCAATTTGATTGGACGATTTATTCTAAGCTATAGTATCTTTAACTCACTGGCTCATTTAACCAATTTATTTGAACAATAGCCTTCAAATCTACATGAGTATGAAAAGTCTATATCTGTGGCCGCAGCTAATTATTTTGTAAGTCTTTGTATGGTCAAGACAATAACACGGTGTCCACGACCCCAACAACTCAATTGGCTGATGGCTAATATGCGCAACTCTTGATTCAATACCCACACTCCACTACACAGCTAGTAGTGACGCCTCTAAATTAGAGAACATATTGTGAGCAACACTCTTTCGTAACTTTACAGAACAAGTGGTAGAACCATTCTTCAGCTTTCATGGTTCATGGTTTCAGCTTGACATTAACAGAGTTTGTTCAGTTTTAGAGTGGTTTTCTAACTTGTGCTTTGTACACCTATGTTTTTATTTATTTATTATCTTCTTTGATTATTTGATTATTAAATAAAAAAATCATATTTTGCTATTTAGTGAAAATTTGTTTGATTACACAATTTTGTAAACAGATGTATGATGATCAATATAAATTTACTAGTCCATAACCTATCCTGGTTTGTCATTTATAGGAGTTTTGAGATAAAAATGTGGAGAGGCATTAATTTGATTCAGAGACAGTCATCACCATCTAAGGGAGTCATAGTATTTTGTTTCCCATTAAGGTGGACGTACAACACCGTAGCAATGTGCTAAACCAATTGGTCCTGGCATGATATATATTATATATTTATATATATTACACTTATCAAACGAAGCTCTTGTTACTACTGATACAGTAAGAAAAGTAACCTTTTACAAAGCTGTTTCTTGTTCCACAGAGTCGGATCCAGTGAATGGAGGAGAAGGTCTGGGTGAGGTGGACTACTCTGCTGGCTCTGCTATGATGGCTCCTCACACTGTGCAGTACACCCAGGTACACTAATACATTGCAGCCATTATCACACCGATAAAATCCATTGGCGGTTGGCTGGTTTATACGACGTCGTAGAATGGCCATGGAGTACCATTTTTTTTGTAAAATTTTGACTTTTATTCTCAGTTTTGACTTTTAATCTCAACATTTTGACTTATTCTCAAAGTTTTGACCCAAAATGTTAACTTCTATCTCAAAATTCATTGAATTCTACAACATCGTATTTATTGCAAGCGCTTTTACAACTGGAGCTCAATTACTGTTTAAATCATCTGGTTTTGAGGGTTAAATTACCACCAAACTCCGTAAGTAGGCCTACTATAACCATAGAGAAGAGATGAATGGATGACTGGAGTCACTACTCTCTGGTTGAACATGAGAGAAAAGCGTGCCATCCAAGATTGCCGCTTGTGCCGTTAAGTTGGTCATACTGTCTCGGTTGGTTGTACTTGTAAAAAATAACTACATCTTTGAGATTAAAAGTCATTATTTTGAGGTTAAAAGTCAAAATTTTGAGATTAAAAGTCAACATTTTGAGATTAAAGTCAGAATTTTACAAAAAAAAGTTACTCCATGGTCCTTCTACGCCGTCGTAGGTTTAAACCCGGGAACAGTTTACATTGAATTTGATGTGCATATCGACCTATGCTTACGTTTATGACTTTCTTCCTTCTAGCGGGGCAGACCTAGCGTATTAATAACACTGCAAATTCAAGGAATCCTTTAACAGCTGTCATTTTTGACTGGATTGTCTATCTGATATCCGGTTTGCGGCATTTTTTTAGTTCAACAAGAACTTTAATTTGATGTACATAATAACCAATGCTTACCATTAAGATTTTCCACTTACTCCCTATGGGCCATTCCCCATAGGGGATATCCGATCGCCATGTACACAAAATAGTTGATTACTATTACTATTACCAGTAATGAAATGCAAAACTCATTGTTGTGGCTTGCCCCTGAACTGGTAAGACAAATATAAAATAATAGTGGTTTAGTTACCTTTACTTTCGTCCCAGTTCAATAAGTTTAATAAGTCAATAAGTTTATTGAACTGGGACGAAAGTAAAGGTAACTAAACCACTATTATTTTAGAAATGCAAAATTTCGTTGTGATATCGCTTTTCGTTTTAAAGATGACCTAAGACTTAATTATCACCCTGTATATGGATATAATTCAAAATGTAATTTTTCCCCTTCTGTTAATAGTTGGTTGCAGATTTTTTTTCTTCAAACTGTGACACTATTAATGGATTTTCAAATTGATTCATAAATTGGTGTGGAAATATAAATACTATAATATGTGAAAAAACTATCCTAAAATTGGACTGATAGTGATGACTGTGCATATGTTGTTACAGATGATGCCTCCGCCCAGTGTGTATGTGAGTAATGTGACTGCCAACGTGAATGTTCACGGGTTTGTCCCACAAACGGTGGCTTATCAACAAGTGCCATTCATGCAGCCAGTGGAGCCGCAGCCCCGCAAGGCCCGACCTGCCAAGATATCTCCCACCAAGCGCTCCCCAGAGGCTGCCAGCTACACTCCCCCCTTCACTCCACCCTTCCACCCAACCATGTTCCCTCCGGTGTACTATCCCCTGCAACTTATGACTCGTCCTGTAGGTATACCTCCTGTATATCCTACAGCACCACAAGTCTTTGGTGCTGCTGCTACATTCCCTCAGCCGATGTTCCCCCACCACGTGCAGCAGCCTCCAACAGACAACCCAGCACCGTTCGTGGAGGAGGAAAAGGAAGAAGAGGAACCGCAAGAGATCAAGGAGGAACAGGAAGATCAGCCTGAGGAAGAGATCAGTGAGCAGCCTACGGTTGAAGAAACTGCTCCCCCTGCAGTTGAGGTGAAAGCAGAGGAGATCAAAGTGGAAAAACCATTAGCCACCAAAGCTCCACCTGTGAACGCATTTAAGTCCGCTCCCAGCCTTACCCAGAAGCCGCCTTTTCCGCAGCCTGCGTCCAAGCCAAAGAGAACCTCAGTAGACGGACCGGAGTTTGTGGATCCTCCAGTTGAAACAGGTCCGCCGAAGAAATCTTTTGCGAGCTTGTTTGTAACTGGAGATAGAGCACAAACCCAGTCATCCCAAGCTGAGGCATCGGCTCCAAAGCCTCTAGCAATGATCCATCCAACGGTACACAACAGTGTGACCAACTCCCCTCGTCCTGAGAAATTCAACTCCACACCTCCAGCCCAAGTGAACAATACTACTTTCTCCAACACTATGAAAGTGAGGCCAGAGAAGGCCATGCCAGTCCAGAAAGACATGGATTATGATATAAACCTGCAGCGGTTGGGAGGTAGGTGTTAAATGGCTTTTACTTGTTATTTGTTTGTAATATGTACAAAGTAAGTGTGGTCTACGAAAAAGTCAACAAAAGTTTTTTTTAACTATATTTTTTTGTATTGTCAAATATTTTTTCAAAAATTTGTATATAAAGCTAATAAGGAACACAAAATTTGAGAAAACTCTAAGCCATGTACCTATCAACTGCATGCTTGAATGGAAGCTCTAGATGAAGAACTTCCTGAAGGGATTTTCTTAAGGGCGCAGAACTTATTTAATTAAAATGTTGTATCAAATCACGTTATAATATTAAAATTGTGTCAGTTATTTGTTTACTATTTTTTTTTAAATTTTCCTGAGTTACTAATTAGATTCTAACCACAAATCCAAAAATTTGTTATTCTTATGATTTGTGATAGTATTTACTTTCAGTGTTCAAACTTTTTAATAGTGCACACATTACCATCCAGCTTTTTACGTGAGGGTTCAGTTTTCTACCGGTTTACTTTATACGGTACAAATTGACTGTTGCTGCAGAGTTCCTGAGTGAGTACCAGCTTGACCACAAGCCTCTGCAGTTGCAGCCGCGAGGTCTCACCAACCGCAGCAACTACTGCTACATCAACGCTATCCTGCAGGCTCTCATAGGGTGTCCACCTTTCTACAACCTCATGAAGACAGTGCCTCCGTCACAGGAGAACAGCAGTGGCAAGTCTCGCACTCCTGTCATAGACAGCATGTGAGTCATCAGCTAAGCTACCATTATAAGAGATATACAGAGACTAGCTAGAACCCATTTCCCTCCCTGCCATTTAAAAACAGCTCACACCGCGTGATTCTCTTTATTGAAAGTCAATCAACTTCATCGATTTGATCTGTAGGCTTTTTCTATCTCAAGCCCTTCAATTATGTGGCGTTTATGTGAGTCGGTGGCTCAGTAGGTAGCGTCGCGGACTTTGGGCCCAAGGCAGCGATGTTGTGGGTTCGGATCCTGGTCACTGCCACTAAAATTTATCAGTACCTTTTTATCATTTCACCTTTGTACTGTACCGGCTCACTCCTTGCTTTGCTGTAAACGATCCTCGCACGGGCGCTTAGTCTATGTGGACGGGCAAATGCAAGGTTAAAAGAGGCCGCCAACCTCTTTAAAAAAAAAAAATTTCCTCCGGTGTTCATTCATATTTTCTCATTGCAATAATTCTACCTTTGTTGATTAATAATTAACATTGACTTTCTATGCAATCTCTCCATTTTCTCTGGCTTTTGACCTTCCCTGGTTTTTAGTTATTATCATTTAAATTATTTTGATTCGGTCAGTCTTTATCTGTGAAATACTCAAATGTTGTGTGTATCTCTTTTAAATCTTTTATCATGTTGGTAATTACATTTTTATCAGTTAACTTACTGTTTCTTTTTATATATTTTTTATTGATGTCCCACAATAAGATGATTGGGCACTAGGCTCTAGCCTGGAACTGTTTCACACTACTCCAGTCTCAGCAGCATTCAGGATTGCAGCTTTCTCAATTTGATAAAACTGAAGTCCTTCGCTCTACCACTAGACCAGCTCTTGCTGGGACCAGTCGACAAAACTTAACTTATTGGACAAAAATATAAATTTAATTTGTTTTTATCATGTCTATTTAGGGTTGCTTTTATCCTAATTAATATTACGATAATATACCTGCAGGGTGAAATTTGTGAATGAGTTTTCGCCAATGTCGCTGAACACACGGCCTGTGGGTCGACGAGAGAAGATCCAAGCCAACAAGGAGGGAGGAGCTGCCGAAGTAGTGACTGGTCCTGCGTTTGAACCTGTGTACGTGTACAAGATGCTGAGTGCGATGCACGCAGCCTTCCCCGTCGAGGGCAGACAAGAGGACGCTGAGGAATTCCTCTCTTGTTTGCTCAACGGACTGAACGACGAGATGCTCGAGGTTAGAAATTGGACTTTTAAGTGTTTAATTTTACATTTATAAGTTCTTGAGACCTAAAAAATGCATAATTTTTATAGATATTATAGATGGCAGTGGCAATATGAGGCAAGGACCTCACAAAGACAAGGGAGCAGATACATCACTCTCTGACATCGACACATACGCGTGCCCACTCATGACTCATCTTTTGCAGGCTATACCACTCATGCACCGTATTATATTATAATTGGCCAATTGTGTTTAATGTTTTAGTGTTCGCGATTTGCATGTTTGACGACTCTTCCCAGTCATGAAGAGGACTAGGTTGGAAAGTTTTTAGTATGTTTTAACTGGTGACAGCTTGAGAATGAACCTTTAGGCTCGAAACCTGGGTCGCTGACCTAAACCCGAATCACAGACAGCACCACAGTTATTTAACCTTTTATTAGTAAAATTCGTGATCCAGAGGCTAAACATGTTAAAAAAACTGGTTTTATTAAAAAATTTGCTCAAAATTTTTTTTTTACTTATCACACTTGAGTATTTTATAGTTATAAAGGGTTTATAAATAGTTTGTTTGATACTAAGGCCATGAAGCTGGTTGAGCCTCAGTCTAACGGTCTGACTAATGGAGATGTCACTACCAACGGAGACTCCACTTCTACGTCCAATGGCAACCATGACCTGGAACAAGATCATGAGTGGACGGTAAGTCTAGCACGTAATATTTAACTATCAAACTAAATCCTAGTCTCTAAGATTGCAGGGAAATTTTAGTTTTTACAATTGGAAATATACTATATTCATTACAATTTGCTTCTCTTCACAATCTCTTTTCTCAACCTTTGTACATATACAGCTTAGTTCCAGCAAAGCGCTCGAGAGACCGATATTAAATTGTGGTAAAAATTTACAACTACGTAGAGGTTGTCAAGTTGATTGGTTGGATGAATGTTTTAGATATCCAAGTTATGAATTACTTTATTTCCACCCATTTAAAAAATAATATAAATGTTTTAGGAGGTGGTGAATAAAAACAACAAGAGTGTGATCACTCGTAGAGCTGAGTTTGGCAAGACTCCATTGTCGGCCATCTTCCGTGGACAGATGCGATCACGGGTGTTTAGAGCCGGTGTGGAGAATGGAACCACTGACAACATCCAACCGTTCTTCACACTGCAGTTGGACGTGGAGGTTAGAATGATCTTAGTTGATGGTTTAGGTTACTACATCTGTCTGTTGATTTCTCGTTTGGTGGCACATACTTGGTTTACCTTGGTTGGATATTTCCAATTAATATGAGTGTGTGCAATATTAACCGGCCAGCAATTAGCCATCTGGGTTTTTATCCATGTGGTCAGTATCTGAGCCTATAGTTAAAACAATCTCACCTTTATGAATTTTTGTTAAATGTGCAGTATTGCTGATGGTTTTTCCTCCTTCAAACAATTTTAAGCAATCATTCTTTGTTCTCTGTTTATTTAAGACTGGACAATGTCATCAATTGGGTTTTACCTGTTTGAAAAATACCATTGTATGTTAGAACTAAATATTTTCAAATATACAATAACGCATGAATAGTAACCCCTTTGTTTGTGTCGTAGAAGGCCAACTCAGTTGAGAAAGCACTGGAACAGCTGGTATGCAAGGACGAGGTGGTGGGAGGAGTCTGTCCCAAGACTAGCCAAGAGATCTCAATGTATACTCAGACTTCACTGGAGGAACTTCCACTTATACTTCTGCTACACCTCAAATGCTTCGACTACAAACTGCACACCTGCTCCAAGATTATAAAAACTGTCGAATTTCCTGTCGACCTAAAAATCGACAATAGTGAGTGTTACAAAATTGTTGCATTGGTTGTTAACTATAGTCAATAGTTACTTGTTTTTCTCAATTTAAGTTACATGCACAAATATAGTTTACTTTACTTGGGATGTTTCCATGTGAGCTGAAGTTTGTGCTACATTAGCTGGGCCATTAATTAGCCATTTATTTTGTTATCTGGATGGTCAGTCTTTGAGCCTACAGTACTATTTTAGAGTTTTTAAGGTATTTTAGCGAATTTCCCTATAGGGAAGTAGCTATTACCGTAGGTCTCATGGTAAGACCTAAGCCCGGGACCGATTTACTTTTTTTCATTTTGATGTCCCCAGAGGCCAAAAACACCATTCGTTCAAATTTTTATATATCTATATATAGAGAGATATATATATATATATATATATAAATATGTGTCCATCCACACGATAACTTGAGTAATTTTTGTCCGATTTTGATAAAATTTGGTTTGAAGGTGTAAGGCGGGATAAACTTGAATGAGTTCGCGAACCAGCATGATCGGACTATGGGAACGGGGGTTTATGGGGGGTTTTATGGGGTAAAAATAGGTTTTTCCCATTTTTGCCCCTAAAAACACAAAATTTCACAATTTCTTTTTAAACCATTTTGTAGAGCTTAAAAAAACAAATAATTTAGTATATTGAAGCGTTATTATGCGCCTAATTGTTACGGAGAAAATTCAAAAAAATTGTAATTTTAAAATTCCCATGTTATTCTTATGGAGAATAAGTCGACTGTTGCAGTTTGCTTGTTTATGAACATATTTTGATCGATTTTGGAAAATACTTTTATTTCTTACTAAACTATTATCATTTCATAAAAAAATCTTTTTTACCCTCCCTGTTGCAGCAAACCTAAGGTACTTGTTAAACTAATTCTATTTAAATAGGAAATAAATGTGCTATTTTTATGGAGGCATTTTAGTGTAAATCCAATCAGGTCAATGGAAATTCGCTTAGTCTGCAGGTTTGCTGCGGCGGGGGTATTTTATAATGTACTGATCTTAATTAAAATTAGTGTATCGCATTAAATGCTGTATCACAACTTAACTGAAGGATTTGGAAAAATTAATTAGTTATGAATTTTCCTAATCTATGATATGACAAATTAACATATTGTATAAATAAGTTACCGTACTCAATTATTTAACGCAGTATATAATTTTTTGGGGGGAAATGTCCATTTTTAAATGTTTACTCATTGGAATTGACGAACTCCTTCACATCATCAGTCAATCAATATTGTATTGCATTAGCAGATCATAAATAACTTATATGATTTCTAATGAACATTGTCTCAGAGTAATGTTACTTTTAGGTTTTCTATAAGGAAATTGTAAGGAAATTATAAGGAAACAAAGCCTTCTCTAATTACTTTCTAACGCTAACTTGTTAGAAAAATATCCAATGACTTTGGTAAATAGCTACAGAATAATAAAAAAAAATCATGTATATTAGTCGTGGATAAGATACCCCCGCCGCAGCAAACCTGCAGACTTAGCGAATTTCCATTTGCCTGATTGGATTTACACTAAAATGTCTCCTTAAAAATATCACATTTGTTCCCTATTTAAACAGAATTAGTGTAACGAGTACTTAGGTTTGCTGCAACAGGGAGGGTAAAAAAGTTTTTTTAAATGTAAAATGTTAAAAGGTACTGTAGTTTAGTAAGAAATTAATGTATTTTTCAAATTTTATCAAAATATTTTCATAAACAAGCAAACTACAACAGTTGACTTATTCTCCATAAGAATAACATGGGAATTTAAAAATGACAATTTTTTTGAATTTTATCCGTAACAATTAGGCGCATAATAACGCTTCAATATACTAAATTATTTGTTTTTTTAAGCTCTACAAAATGGTTTAGAAAGAAATTGTGAAATTTTGTGTTTTTAGGGTCAAAAATGGGAAACCCCTGTTTTTACCCCATTAAACCCCCGTTCCCATAGTCCGATCATGCTGGTTCGCGAACTCATTCGAGTTTATCCCGCCTTACACCTTCAAACCAAATTTGATCAAAATCGGACAAAAATTACTCAAGTTATCGTGCGGATGGACACACACACACATATATATATATATATATATATATATACATAGATAGATAAAAATTTGAACGAATGCTGTTTTTGGCCTCTGGGGACATCAAAATGAAAAAGTAAATCAGTCCCGGGCCTAGGTCTTACCATGAGACCTACGGTAATAGCTACTTCCCTATAGGGAAATTCGCTAAAAACCATGAATTTTACAGATATAAACTAAAAATAAATTGGTGTGACATTAATTTGATTTTACTCTCTGAATAAATCATTAGTAACTAGTAGTCAACATCACTTAGATAAGATATGGTTTTCAAATTGATTGTGAGAAACCAACAATATTGGTCAAGGAAATCAAATTTACCATCTAATAATTGACTTACACAAACATGTGGTAGTATTAGTAGTTGTTATATTGTAAAAGGTTGTTGAGTTTAACAATTCTTTGTATTTTACAGAACTTTGTACCTCCAAGAGTAAAACCCCCTCAAAGGACAGACAATACAAACTCTTGGCAGGTAAGTTTCTCAGCCTCTCTTAAATAACATTAAATAAACTGTAGTTCAGTTGGAAGTAAAATTAAATTGGTGAGGTGGTATATTTCTGAACTAGTTAAACTTGCGTAAGAAATGTTCTAGGCAGTTATTATAAAAATATGAGGACATAGTTGTAATTATGCTCTCTCTTCCTTTACACCCGAAAAATCCTTGTAGGCGAGAATGAATGTTAGTTGTAACAATAAAGGTTGAGTGGGCCCTAATAGTAGATTATTTTTAATGTATTGGTTCCTGAATATGATGATGATGATAGATAAAGAGTCAAAGAATTTTACTTGTAGTAAGAATTTGCTCTATTTTTAACCGACTTCCCCACTACCAACAAAAGGAGGAGGTTCTCAATTTGTTTGTGGCGATGTTTTTTTTTTTCTATGTATGTTCACCAATTTCTCTGTGATTCTTTTACCGACCAGTGTGGTTCCACCACCAAAATAACCAGGAGAGTTTCTATTTGGTACCTTATATATTATGTTTAAGTATAATATTTGTTTCGGTGAAAAATTCTGAAAACCTTAAATATTCAACACTTATTTTGTTTACATTTGTGCAGATTGTTTACATTTGTGCAGAGAAGGCAATAAATAATAATAACATTCCTACAGCTGTTAGTAGAAACCATTTAAATGAAGCTACAGACAATTCTTCATGAAACAGTTGCTTCATATTGATCAATAAACTATTTCTTGCCATGGAGCCTAAATGAATAACATTGAAAAAAAATGCATTTTGTTTTAATTACTATAAAAAATGTATTTTCACGTTTGACCTGATTTGTGTATACAGTAATTCTGTTTTTAGTATAGAATATTCTGAATTACAAAAACATATATGTTTCAGTGAATAGCTGTATGATATTGACAAATAAAGGTGTATTGTGAAAACCAAAGCATTCGTAAAACAGGTCTAAATATAAATTAAATGCAATTATTCCTTACACGACCTAAGAAGTGTGACAGTACATAATCGTCAAAAGTGTTAAATATTTGAATTACTAAACATGCATTTGCAGATGTGCGCCACTCATCATACACTCATCTCCATTCATACTTGGCTTAAAATACCTACTTTGTATGGTCGCCATTTCAAAGAAAAGTATTAAAAGTGTGGAATGTTTATTGATATTCTCTACCCGGTTACTATATCATATCAATACTATTATGTCTGCTTCGGAAAGTCCCAGAGGAAGATGATTTGCAATTTCGACTAGGCTATATCTTGATCAAACAAAACCACCTACATGGCTTGCACCACTTTTAGCTGAACCAATCTTTCATATACATATTTCATTTGCAGATGTGGAATGTTTATTGATATTCTCTACCCAGTTACTATATCATATCAATACTATTATGTCTGCTTCGGAAAGTCCCAGAGGAAGATGATTTGCAATTTCGACTAGGCTATATCTTGATCAAACAAAACCACCTACATGGCTTGCACCACTTTTAGCTGAACCAATCTTTCATATACATATTTCATTTGCAGATGTGGAATGTTTATTGATATTCTCTACCCAGTTACTATATCATATCAATACTATTATGCCTGCTTCGGAAAGTCCTAGAGGAAGATGATTTGCAATTTCGACTATGCTATATCTTGAGCAAACAAAACCCCCTACATGACTTACACCACTTTTAGCTGAACCAATCTTTCATATAATATTTTCCAAAGGTACTATACGTGTTAACGACCAATTTTCCACTTTTGAGAGATATATTTTAGTGCTTTATGCTGGTGGCTGAGGAATAACTTTCATATTGTTTATTGATACGTTACTGTATTTCTTTTTATAATGTAGAAGTACACCGATTGCAGGAAACGATGATGTCCGACATTTCATTAGGCCTAATGTAATGGACAGGGAAGCGAGCTGGCGTAGTGGTTAGAGCGCGGGACTTCAGTCCCTGAGGTCCCGGGTTCGACCCCCGCCAAGTCACCAATGGATTTTATCTAAGTGATAATGCCGCAACCCCTAGGTCTAGGCTCGTGCCTAGCGTCCTTAGGACAAAAAAAAATGTAATGGACAACTCTTTTTTTCTTAAGGAATATCAAAAAATGTTTATTTTCATACCCATTGATTATGTAACCTGAACAGGTGACTCAAGCAGTTTTAAAATAATGATTGTTCTGTGGAACTTTTGATTGTTTCAAACAGTTTTGCTTATCAAAAAACCTCAAGTAATTAATACATAAAAAATTATACAGTCACTAAAAATCATGAAATAATTTATTTTTGTAAAAAAATACAACCGACTTCAAACGCTCTAAAAAGAATGAAATAATTTCAATAAAGTAAACTTTTGTATTAGGCAAGCTCACGTATTTCAAGTCGGCGCGGCTCAAACTGCAAATGTGATTGAAATTAAATATTGTGTGTATATTTTGAAAATCAATAAATTGTAGCTGGATAACATAAATATAAAAAACATACTGAACTGTTTTGTTTATATATTAAAGGAAATATTTTCTTGTATTTTATGTTTACTTCAGAATAAATGCATTATGAAAATAACACACAAAAATGTTCTATATGAATAGGAAAATAATTTAGTTTGATATTATGAAAGGGAAAAGAAGCTAGTTTAGTATTAAAACGTTACTTTTCCAAGTTAGAAACATTTAAATGCGTTATAATCTTTTTAAAGATACTCGTTAATACCACTATAATGCCGATCTCTGATTACGGTAATAAAATAACACTTAACGCATAACTATGAAAAATACATGCAGATTAACACCTTTAGTTATAGATAGTGACCACAATATGGGCACCCTCTTTCAATTTTCTATCAAAAATCATCATAGAGCCGCGCCGACTTAAAATACGTAAGCTTGCCTAATACAAAAGTTTACTTTATTGAAATTATTTCATTCTTTTTAGAGCGTTTGAAGTCGGTTGTATTTTTTTACAAAAATAAATTATATTAGTTACAGATGGTACCAATACTAAGAATTGATTTGGTCAGGAACTGACTTGAAACATCACTGATGAATATTATGATGTTAAAACATTTAAATAATAGAAGTAGATACAAGGGTATTTGAACTAACACTCCCATGTAGTGCTATACAGGTTGTTGTGTGTTACAGTGGTATATCACGATGGCAAGGAGGCCACTAAGGGCCACTACATCACTGATGTGTTCCACACGGGCTACAGCAGCTGGGTGAGATATGACGACGCCACAGTCAGACCTGTCACACAACAACAAGTGCTCAACCCCCGACCTCCGCGAGTACCCTACCTGCTGTACTACAGACGATGCGACACCATCAACAGATAATACCTCCGCCACAAGACAGGTACCACTAGTGTTGTCAAGCTGAGCTATCGAAATCACAGAGAGTAGTGATGTGTTCCTTTTAGCTGTCAATAGTCGGTTTTGAATACACCTTAGTTTAGTCCACACTACACTATTGAGTAATGACCATTCTGTTTGTTTGAAGATTTATTGTTGGTGATGGTAGAATTGTGTTGTATGAGGGATTATTGCAGGTAAAGCTAAATCATGAGTCTCATTGACTGATAAAAAGGGTTTTTAATAAATACAAAAATTATAACGGTGTTATAGCCTCCGGAATAGCAATAAATATTCAAATGGTACATACCTGCTTAATGATAATCCATATAGTGTTGTTAAGCAGTGAGTTTCAAGTCAAAATTTTAGTGTTAGGCTCAACTTCCGTCAGGTCAAACTAGCGTCTTGTCAAATCAGCAGATTTTAAGTTAACGTTAAGTATTACTGTGTTGTTAGAGTGCGTGTATGTGTGCTGTTTTATTTTTTTTAATTTGGCGGTCTTTAACTTATTTTGGACGTCCATTGCAGTCTGAAGATGACTCATATTTGGAGCCGAAACATGTTGCACACGACACACAATTTTGTATGTATTATCAACAACGATTACTAGAGTATCCAAAATACTAGAGAAGCCATTCATAGTTCTACTTTCTCCACTTGAACAAACATAATTGTGCGATTCTGAGCCTACTCAGACACGTCAAGGAAGTTACAATTTATATTGTGTTTTCTGTTGTAGGTTTGGGGAGGGTGTAGTCATCCAGGGTCGAGTACTTAGTATCGTCAGCCAGGATTGAACATTTAGTAACTGTAGTGTTTGGTTTACCCTACATGTAGTCGCGATGTCCCGGCAAGGAAAGTGCACTTATAGTCATGTCTGTAAATAAGCGAGGAACGTGGTGTCTGTGATTTGTTTAGTTTGAGCCGTTTTACCTAGTCGCGGACGCTTATTTAAATTATTAGTGTTTTTAGATTTTTCTATTGTACATAAATTTTAGTTATTGCGATTACCTACCAGTAGCTAAACTACGTCGGTTTAAGTCTGAAATCGTAGAACCCAGTTTTATGGAATTTCATTTATCAATGATTAACTCTGCCTCTGTTTTTGTCATTCGGGATTCATTGTGTAGTATTTTTACTAACTGTATTTAGAGTGTCTGTTAATTTTGTAATTTTGAATATTTATTTATAAATTACTAGGTGCAACCAACAGACTGATTATAGGTTTTATACTATTAATTAATTGTTGCCTAAGAAATATCGATGGAGTCAATAAAATTGTTTGTGTCCATCTATTTTGTGTGTATTCCATGTTGTTTTTGCTTTTTGTTAAGATGTAAATATTGATTGTTATTGTTTTCATCATAACACTTAAAGGGTGTGGACTTTGTTGTTGATTTTATTACTGAACTCGCTTGTTTAAATCATGAAAACTGAAGCATTTGTGTTTGTTTTCTTAACCAAAATGCTATGTTTTTCAAATACTATATCCTTCCTTATTAAGTTAATTTTTGTTTTGTCTGTCATATTGTAAATATATATAACGATAAATTGGAGTAACTGGAGATGATTCTAGAAAAATAAATCCACTTTTGTCAGCGTTTCATCAAACTGTGAGATTTTGTGAATGAAGAATTGTACATATTCATTCATATTTACATTGGTTGTAGGAAGATGGAGTTAATATATTTTGAGAAACTAGTTAATTACTTTTGCATCAATATTTTCAATTTGTTTGGCATGTGGAAAAATTTATCAAAATAATGGCCATATTACAGGTAAAATTGCCTGATATTTTTTTCTTATTCTAAGAGACAAAACAATTTTTGAATCGATAATTTTTCCTGTGGAAACTGGGTGGTTCATTAACAAGAAAATAATAATATAGGCAAATTAAAATTTTTACTTTTATTCAAATAATTGGGCAGGCCACTTTGATGTTTGGTATTTTTTGTCCTTAATTTAAAAATTTTAACATGCTAATCAACTAGACAAAGGCATAATACTTATTAGATACTGTGAGTAGATAAAAACTGAATATGCTTTGAATATTTTTTATAAGTGCCTTCAATTGACAATTAGGTGGGTGTTAGCTTCTAGTTTGAATTCATACATAAAATAGAACTGGAATAAAAATAAAATAACTTAATTTTTCCTCGCATAGCTTTTTATGTATAAACCGTTCCTTACAACTTAATTTTTGCCACTATAAATATAGTTTTACTTGTTTAACTCTTTACGATTTATTTTTTACATAATTATGGCTGTGAGATTTGAACTAAAAGAAAAACAAAAACATTTACTTGATTTAATTATGTTTGACCTGTTTGCTCATATATATTAGACTGAGCAAATTTGTGACATACTTTTATTGTGTCTAAATAATACCTTAATAGTCGTTCTTGGCTTCCCAACATAGCTCTTCAGTGTTACTATTTATTTAATATCTTTTGAATTTATGGTTAGATATAAACTACATTTGTAACAATCTTTTTTACAAAGTATTGCATTTAACTAAAATTCTATTTAATTTCAACTTGAATAAAGTTATTGCCAATTCAGATATATTTGCAAACCTACAATGCCATGTTTATAACTTTTTTTGTGAAGGTATTTGGAATTTTTAAAGTAAGATACTGTTTTCAAACCAATAAATTAACAGTTGTTGATGAATTAAAACAAGGATTGATTAATTTAAAAATCGCTATTACTTTCTGTTTCAACCCACCTCAACTGTATAATAACCATTATAATACCAAATAATAACATAGGTAGTGGTTCCCAATGCAGATTAGTACAAAATACTACTTTGTGATTTAATTGCCATTTTTTAAAGATTAACCTTTTGCTTACTTTCCATGAACAGACTCCTTTTTTGGACATATTTAAGACACAGAGAAATTTGATAATTGTTGATTTCATGAGATCAGCCTTTGCATTTTCACACAGATTTGATTCCATATTTGTAACAAAAAATGTTTAGTGCCTCTGTGAATAGTATTTTCCCCCTTATAGAATTTTTCTTTTGTGTAAATACTAAGAGTTACCTGAACTTAGGTTCAAAGTTTGGTTTTTTTGTAAAAGTTATTTTGTTTTATTTACTGCCCTAATAATTCAGTTTTTTAGTGATTAGTAGGTTTCAATTTTACCCGTAAAGTTTGCTTTGAGTTTTTTCTTGGAATATAAAAACCATTCGTTGGTTTTAGTTTTGTACCAATATTATGATAACCCTCAATTAACATTAGTAGTTGTGTTATTTATGTTTTTATTACTACTCCAGAAAACTTTTGCTTGCCATTGTTAATTCAATCAATTAACTTAATTGGCAAAAGTTACTGTAATTGCTTAGGGTTTTTGTTTGACCAACAATAATCGTGGAAGTGTAAGTATTCTAATGAGACCTTTTCACCATTTTGCATTCATTGTATTATTTCATATAATGAAATCGTAAACTTATTAAATGTACATAAACATGTAGAATAATGTATATATAAGTAGGTAGTGTATCATATGTTTGTCTTCCATTGTGAGAGACAAATTCACTGTATTTTCTGTAACATTACTATTATGGTCGAGCTTGCCTAACCTACGACTCCCCAACGGAAAACCTTAGTGACCTTTTTTTTTATCTATCAAAGGTATAAAAACTGTTAAAAATATCTAGAATGCCTACCTGTGTAAATTTCTGTAAAAATTTATAGTACACAGCATTTAATTAAAGAATAAAAATTAAATTGTTTTTATATGTGTGTTTTAATTTTGCCTTATTTACAACAAACTGTCTGATTCCAGCATAAAAAAATCATACTGTACTCCCTTAGTAGATTTCTCATCCTTGTGGAACTGAAGCTGAAGCCAATTTTATTGTTAGTTCTGTCTGGTGCACTGTAGAGGTCTTGTTTTGTTTTCAATTTCTTATTGTTATTTCTATCATGATCTTATCATGAACAATAACTCGTCCCATATTTATATAACTAAACAGTAAAGGATCAAGAAATTAACCCTAAAATAATAGAAACAAAATTTGTTCAACACTAGCAAATCAGTGTCACCGGACATGAACACGACACTAAAAAATTAAGGGTGCGTTCTACCATGATAAGGTACCCCTGACGCGCAACCGAATGCAAGGGTTTGCAAGATTACTGTTTTCACCTGCTACATTGAAGGTAGAATCAAAGTTAAGGTCTCATATTAAAGAGGATGAAATTTTCTATAGTTCTGCGTTTCATTATTTCATTTATTTTTAATACACACCTTATAAACTTGATTTGTAGGACAATAAAAAAGGTCTTTTTAACTAGCCCTAACTTATTGAAAAAACTTAATTTGAATATTTGAAAAACGCAGAACTATAGATTGGTATTTGTACCACTATAAGCCGTTTAGCTATCATTATTGGTTAATTCGAAAACAGTAATCTTGGAAAACTCCGCAAGCGCTTCTCGCGGCACTGTCCAATGGTGCAACATAGCTACTGAAGCCCAAGCTGAGATTTCTGAGCTGAGGTAGAGCGCACCCTTAACCATTAACCATACTACAGGGTGCGGCAAAAAAACCGATTAATTTTCTGCAGAGCACTGTTCAGCGACAGCTTGTCCGAGAGTGGTGGAAGTAGGCTCGTTGGAAAGCCTACACAATGCCATTTTTTGTAGTCATAGAGCAGTGGTCGCCTGAGCTAGTGCGGTTGTTATGGAGTCGTTTTTATAAAATAGTGAATTCATTCATTACTACTCAGCGGCAGTTTCATGCATTCTTTCAATTAAAGCGACAGCGACAAGGAGAAGTTCCGTTGCGTAGCACAATAATGCGGTGGGTTACTTACTTTAGGACAACGGCTTCTGTGTTGAAAAAGAAGCTGACAGGCCTTCCAAAGTTAGATCGGACGCTAGACAACAAACATTCGATAGAGTTTGTGCTGCTGTGGAAAACCGTCCTCGTAGGCCAGCCCGAAAAAAGCGACTGCCTTGAACATGTCTGACCGCTCAGTTACACAAATTTTGAGGTTAATTTTCATCCCTATGGATTAGAATAATAATCTATAATTTGGTAATCATCCATTCAGATAATAACAACGGAACCTCTCTATGTCGACCTAATTGAATAAAAGCACGGAACTGCCGCTGAGTTGCAATGACTAAATCATTACTTTAAAAACAACTCGATAACAACCGCACGTAGCTCATACGACCATGCTCTATGACTAAAAAAAATGGCATTGTATAGGCTTTCCAACGAGCCTACTCCCACCACCCTCAGACGACATGTTGCAGAAAGTGGTTCGGTTTTTTTGCCGCACCCTGTACAATTCATCATAATGAACTAATGATTTATACCACTGACTTTATAAAGTCAATGTTTATATTCAAAAACGGCCCTTACTTAAAAAACCGTAATACAGGATCGAAAGAAGAGTGTACAGAAGATGATAACATTTTAAACATAAAATCATCCTACTAATATTATAAATGAGAAAGTTTGGATGGATGGATGTATGGATGTATGGATGTATGTTTGTGACAAGTGAACGCAAAAAATACTGGTCGGATTGGGCTGAAATTTGGCATGATGATGGCTCACATTCCCGATTAACATATAGGTATATTCTTATTTCAAAAATCCTTTCGGGCTCTGCCCCAGTGGCTCTGGAGTTTCCCATGTTAACCTTATGAGAAATGGAATTATTGAATCTTAACAGCTGTTTCAACTTAACAAGTTGGTTCTGTTCTATGATGTTCAATAGCATTAAAGTTACAAGGATTACCAACAGGGTGCAGCACTATTATTTCTTTTACATTTATGACAACAGCTAATTTGCAACCAAAAGGTGAGTGAGCGTAGCGAACGAACTTCAACCTGGAGGCGAGTTAGCGTAGCGAACGAGCTAACCTGAAGGCAAGTGAGCGCAGCGAACGAGCTCCAACCTAAAGGTGAGTGAGCGTAGCGAACGAGCTCCAGCCTAAAGGTGAGTGAGCGTAGCGAACAATTGAGCCATGCGAACTAGATAATCTTGAAAATTAAGAAGTTAAACGGGGCAAAGCCCGCGGGTTACAGCTAGTTTACTATAAGTTCCACCTGAAACATTTTGTCCTATGACTATATATTACGAACTATTATCTTTCAATCAGACTGTTAAAATATATATATATATATGTGTAAAGGGACCTCTTATCAGGAATTTTTCGATTTTGAGTTGAGAAAAGACTGAAAATTTCAAATACGCATAAAACATTTTTTTTAATTTAAGGAACGATTTTGGTATCAGAAGAAAGCATATCCTCTTTGGAGGCAATACCAATTTTTGTCTTAATTTAAATAATTGTTTTATTGAAGCATGTCGTAAAAATCACAATTTCAGAAAAGGGATCTCTTGTCGGCCCTATGTTATTTCTCCATAACATAAAAAAGGTACCGCAAAATTTGTGAGATATTTTGTTCTCCGTAAACTGAACTTTGTTGTAGTTCTCTTAATTTCCACTAGAATGCAGGACAATGCATTTTTTGGACTAAAGTCTGTTTATAAAGTGAATATTAGAAATGGGACCTCTTGTGGTTGAAATAACATTGAGCGACAAGAGGTACCTTTTCTCAGACTGTGCAGGAGCTAAGAAAATTATTTATTTTGACCTTTTACATTTTCGATTCGATATTTTAACCGATACTGACCTGTTCTATGTTAAATAAGGTATAACAATCGATACAAAAACAAAATTTTGATATTTTCAACCTTAATCACCTATGGATACCAATACCTTAATTAAATTCAGAAATGACAAAATGCTAGATAAATGAGCTTTTTAGAAATAGGTGACTGTGACATATTTGTTGTGTCTATTTTTTGTGGTCCGGGGGTTTTTCTTCTTATTTAAAATTCGGTCAACTATTTTTGGGTTGTATCTTTAATTTTTATTGTGCTTCTTAATGTAAATAAAACCCCAACAAAAAAATTTACACACAGCTGGTTTTGACTAAGATAAAACCCTAACGCTCTTTTTACACTTTACGGTTTCCACCGTCTGGTTGAAAATAGTATGATTTTACGTTGTGGCTATGTTTCTTCCATAACACGCTTTCTGACCCAATGGCAAGATAATGGGTTTGCAAAATCACAATAACCATAAACTTGATTAAAACCGTGCAGTAAAGCTTGCATTTATCTACATGCGCCACTGATCCACGGCGTGGCAATCGTCCGGTTTGTAGTGTAAAAGCTCTCTTGCTCGCTTCTTTGCACTGCTAAAAAATTTTTACCTACAGTTACAAACCAAAACTGAATACAGTAGTGTGAAAGGAGAAGTGTATTCATAGGAATAATTTTGTAAGACAGTGTGGCAGAGCCCTAGAGTTAAAAAAAAAAATTGACCTATATCTTTGGTTTATTGGCTTAATTCTAAGTATTCTTGGAGGTTTAGTGGATTATATTAGAATGTTCTATTTTATAAGGATGAATAATAAAATACAAGGAAACAGTTAGTTGTTTATTGGTTATTTAGTTCACTGGCTATATTTAAAAAGTTTTCTTAGACTACTTAATTTTGAAGTTTTTTCCAATGTTTTATGTTCAAATGTTTAAAAACGAGCAATTCTAAACTAAAATTCATCTTTGGAATAGACATCCTCAAAGTCTCTGTAGTATGTTTCTGCAAACGGTTCGGCAACAGTCATCCACGTGTCTTGATCAAACCTGACCCAGAAGTTCTGCTTGTGCAGAGTTATACGTTCCCACTCCCTGGTTATCAACAGAAGCCAGTAGAAAATGCTGTCCCCGACTCTGAAATAAGAATATTTGCAATTACCAGTACTACATATTGGAGTTACAAAAACATCAGTTCTGCCATGAAGAAATTCTGAGAAAATTTATAAGCTTTTTGATGGTTTGGCTTTTAATTAAGAAGATAATCCTGAAAGAGATTGGTTTATAGTTTTTATCTGGCTGAGAACTTAGTGCTGAAAAATAAGAATTACTGTAAAGAGTTATCAGGAATGAAATAAAATTATTTTCTTTTCTACTTCTAACGGTTGATTTTTGATATTTCAAACCTTACACTTGGATCAATTATAATTCCACTTTTAGATTTTGTGTCATATATTAAAATTTCCAATCTTCTGTTTGATCTACCATCTTCAATACAATGTATTTCTTCTTCTACTTGCCAGCCTTTTTTCCGTATTCTTCTGCGATCATTGATCTTACAGTCTTGTATTACGCAGTAAGGCACCAAAGGGACAAGAGCCAAGAACATGCAGAAGGGTTTCAGGCTCACTGCAGTGAAGTAAAAACATATAACGAGCCTTATCGTTGTTATATTGCAGATGCGCGTGCAACTCGTAAAATGCATATTTTTATTTTATAATTCAAATCAATATCGATGTGGGGCTCAACTACCTCTTGGGCCCATACCGCAACCGCGGGCTTGACTATGTTAGTGTTATTCTTAGTTAAGTAAAAACTGAATACTTGCACCAAAATCTAAAAATTTCATAGATCTTGCAACCTGCTGTATTAGAGCCTTAAACATTTCTTGGCATCCTAATAAACATCAACTCTAAAACATAGGCTACTAATAATAACTTATGAATCTGAATATTTTAATAATTTTTTTAAAAGTGGAAAGTTTCTTAATTTGCCAAGGGATTGATGAAAAAAAACAAAAATAACATCAAGCCGAAGCTCTACATACCTCAAATGAGTCTCTGTATCAGAAACTGTGATGGTTCGGTCAAAGTTCTCATTGAAAGACACATTTGTGAAATCTGTTGTAGAGTATGGATTCGAGCGGTTGTAAGGTTTACGAAAGTTCCAAAACATATGAAGCTGCCTAATGTCTCGTGCATCTATAAAAATAATTATTGTTAGTAGTTAATGTTATAAATAACAAACTAACTTCATTATCATTACCTTATTCATAGCTCAGAAATTCACATTCGGGTTAAAATTGTACGTGCATCAAAATGATTGTACCGATCCGAAACCAAATCCCCATACCAAATACCCCAACAACAAAATTTAAAATCCTCAACGAAAATAACATTTTGTCTTTTCACCAGCTTTTGGAGTATAGGATAGTCCGTTCACAAAATTCAAGGTTTTTAAGAGGAAGTTCCCCCACAATTAGCGTGATAATTGTTGGTTAAATAATTTCATGAGAAATTGAAAAATGTCTGGAGATACCGGTACCATTGATGAAGTAATATAAGTAATATATATATATATATAATGAAGTGATGGTGTTTATTTATTCTATGCCGGTACTATGGATTAGTAACCATATACCAAAATTCATCAAAATTGGACCTGTATAGTCTGTTTCTCTCTACCCATCCACACACACGCACACAGACATAACTTCGAAAACCACTTTTTTAGTCGTTCTATTGGATGATTTTTATGAGCCAAGGGGGCAAATAAATAACTTCTGTATTATAAATTGATAATTCTGTACCTTAGTATTTATTTGCAGAAGTAAAATATCAGGGTGTGACCCTCTATGGATTACCCTCTATAGTAATTGACTCATCACTCATCAGATCACCAGACTATTTTTTTCAAATCTTTTAGTGTTACACGAATGGCTCATAGATCTGCTCTGCCTAGTGTCAGTTCATGTTTGTCTTCTTCGTAGCTACAATCTTGTTGCAGACATAAAATTGTTTTACATGTGTCGCATCCGAACCTGGATGCGAGCGAAGGAGGATCGGGTACTCGAAATAATTAACACATTTTATGTTAAGAAAAACCGCATTGGTGTGCGGGAGCCGGTAAGGTAGGACGATGACTGTTGTACAGAGAGTGTTGGTTGGGTGATCGAGGTAGCAGTGGGAACGGAAGGTGGTGTGATGGAAACAACCAATGGGGTTAGTTTATTCGATCAGGCCATATGACGTCACATCGTACGATATCTAACGGTACATGGATCGAGCTAGCAACATGTTTTCCAAAATTGCCATATTTATTATGCGCTTGATGCGTTATTGCAAATAACTGTAAGCCAAAGAAGAAGAAAGAGGATGCCTTAAGAGTTTTACCAATTGCCCTCATGGCAAGGGCGTAGCCAGGATTTCCTATTGGGGGGTGCGGACATTCACGGGTTAGTGGCAACCCACGGGGGGTCCGGAAAAATTGTGTGAATTTTAGAGCAAAAATGTGGGTTTTAAAGCGAGTTGAGCATTTAAAATCTCTTATCTCAATTCATTACGGACCATAGGAGAATTTAAGACCAAAGGGTAAGAGCAGGTTAAAAAAGCCTAAGTTAATTATTGTTAAAAACTTAATTTTATGAGAATTTCGACGGGTGCTGGAGCAGCTTCAGCAGCCCCCTGCCCCTGGCTACGCCCTTGTTTTATGGCTTTATTTTAGGTGTAGGGTGATCTCTCACCTAATTACAAAGAGAAAAAAAAAACAATTCATCCTTGTTGGAGTGAAGTTTACCATAACATGATGACTGTTGAATTTTCTTGATTAATCCTGGTAAGAGAAATTACTAAAAATAGTAATGAAAACCAAAACTTTACTCACAGCTGGAGAGACGATCAGGCCCATCTAAAGCCGAGTCTTCCCAAACGGGGAAGAGGAGCATGGAGAGAGGAACGCGGAAAGCGGACTCCTCTTTTTGTCTTAGGTAATTTAATGTTACTGTTTTCCTAGAAGCGGAGCGGAATGCCATGTTATTCTCTTTTCCGCGCTCCTCTTCCGCGTCTAGGAAAACCCAGCTTAACAAAACTCCCTAGATAAAATAATCAGCAAACTGACACATACTTTCTCCCATTAGCTTGTCAACAATCCTCATAATGGGTAAGCGGTGGTAGTAAATATGATTTTTATGGGTAAAATCACAAAGATTGTGACAACTTTTGAACTGTGGGGGTTGTACCATCTTATTTTTAGTTACCTACTTAAAAGACCATAACATACTAAATTGAAATCCAAATTGTTAGAGCCATTAGTGTTGCAATTTATCTGTTATGTTATGGCTTTTTATGAAAAAATTGCCAAAAATCATCATTTTAAATTAAATGAAAATCCTTCTTTATTGAGACGAACTTAGGACCTCATGGTCCTTTCTTACAGTTAACCTCTAAAAAACTAATAATAACAACAAAATATTAACAAAAAATACAATACAGTTTGTTACATAACAAGTTATAAAATAGCACAATTTATTTCATCTTCCCTAACATACAGTCACACTCACACACACATACACCCTCTGTTGCATGTAGGCCTAAGGACCTGTTATAGCATGAGCAACAATAAAATCAGTAGCGGCTAGCCCATAAGGACTCTCGGACGCCGCCCTCCCAACAATACAGAAATCAATATTTTTTTTATTTATGTAATAAAAAAATAATATGTCGTAATTAAAATTAAATTACAATTATTTACGACTACTTAATCAATATGATAATAATATGAAATGAAATAGTTTTAAATTTTGAATCCAGTAATGACTGTTTTGCGATAGTCGCTTTCATAATGTGGATTGCGGACGGCGGCAACCTCCGTCCCAAACTCAATGCATGTAGTGTTATGGTAGAAACACCTAACAGCGCTGAGGGTGCCGTGACGTCATTCCAATGCTTTACAATAGGGACTCTGGGGCAGAGTCCAAAGCTGCGCGCGCATCCATAAATCAGGGCAGCCACCCTAAACTGGATAATTCTGCATCACACACGATTAGGATAGGAAGAACCATGTTGGCAGCGCTGGAGCCATCATCCACACTGTCACTACCATAAACATAAACTAACCTCACTTCTTTCCATGTCCATGACCACAGTTCAGTTATAGTTTAGTGCCAAACGACCTGTTGTTTTGTGATCAATAGTGTTTAGTGATAGTGATGGAGGCCTAAGGAAGGCAGCGGTAGTTTTTTGAAGATTGAAAGAGCTAAGTAGAAATTATTAATAGTTATACTTAATTGATTGAGTTAGTTAGTTGGTATTTTTGAGTCAATAAGTTACGTCTGTAGTTTTAGTATAGGCTAACCTAATCAACCCGAAAACGAAGTAAACTAACCATAGGTAAAGTGACTCGGACAACTTTAGTTATAGTTACTTATTATTAGTCTTAATAAGTTATTACGGGTAAATTTGCCGTGGGTTGAAGGCCTAAATCTAAATAATAATGGACGGCGGCATTTCGTTGTCGTCGACGGCTAACGTCACTAATGAAGTTAGCCTGATTATCAATGAAGGGATCAAAAATATTGACCACAGAATTTCTTTGAAAAAATTAGGACCTCCTAGACCTTTCATGAACATAAACCAAATTCAAAACAGTTCAAAGAATAAGAATAGCTTCACACGAAAATTTTCGCCACATATGTACAATCATGCCGATTGGCTATGTGGCTGTTCAATTAAAAATTCATTTTTCTGCTACACTTGTTTGGTCATGGGGGTTCAAGATAGAGCATGGACTGTAGACGGGATTTCAGACCTTAAACATCTACTGGAAAAAGTAAAAAAACACAAAACAAGTGAAAAGCACATAAATGCGTCAATAGAATATGCTGTTTTAGGTAAAGTTGATATTAGATGCCAATTGGACAATGCATATAGGTTAAAAATACAAAAACAAAATGAAGATGTTTCGAAAAATCGATACATTCTAAGTAAGCTAATTGATGCAATTAAATTTTGTGGAGCGTTTGAATTAGCATTACGAGGACATGATGAACGCGAAAATTCAAAAAATCCTGGCATATTTCGTGGTTTGGTTAACCTTATGGCGGAGCTGGATGTAACATTGCAACAGCACATAAATCAAACAAATAACCGTGTTTTTGGGTCTGTCTAAAACCATACAGAACGAGTTATTGGACTCAATATATTACGTTTGTCTGCAAATGATTCGTGACGAATTGACACAAACCGACTATGTAGCTATTGAAGCCGACGAAACAACAGACTGTGCCACTTTATCCCAACTAGTATTTGTTATTAGGTACGAGCTGAATGGCACGATTCACGAGCGATTTATCACTTTTATTAGACCAAAAGGCCATGATGCAGAATCAGTTAGCGAAACAATTTTTGAAGTATTAGAGCAATTAAACCTCGACAAAACTCCTGATAAAGTCATTGCCCAGAGCTACGATGGGGCTTCCGTAATGAGTGGCCAACACACGGGAGTACAAGCGCGTGTAAAATCTAAATATAAGAATGCAAATTTTGTCCACTGTTACGCACATCAATTAAACTTAATCATTGAACGCAGTGCTACACAAAATAAGCAGGTTAAGATATTCTTCAGTAATATCGAGGGGTTTTCATCATTCTTTTCCCAGTCAACAAAGAGAACTGCAGTTCTCGATGAGATAGTAAAACGTCGTATTCCAAAAAGCTCAGGTACTCGGTGGAATTTTAAATCCAGAATTGTAAGCACAATTTTTAATTATCAAAGAGAGTTGGAGGAATGTTTAAGTTACATACTCGACGATGACACCAATGACTATGCCACAATAAATAAAGCTGTTGGCCTAAGAAGTATTCTAAAAGACGAAGACTTTATTTTCTGGCTGGACTTTTTCAATCAAATACTGCCCCACAGTGACATTCTGTACAACCAACTGCAGCAAACAACAATTGATTGCGTCAAGGCGTTTAAGTTTGTAGGCGATTTCAAAACTGTGGTAGATCGCGTAAGAAACTCGACCATGTTAGATCAACCGAGAGATAGTGAACCCGAATCGAGCAAAAAGCGGAGAAGATACGACGATCAAAAACGCGTTGTCGCAAAGGAAGTGTGTGACATAATTACGTCGGGAATTGATGACCGTTTTACGTTTGTAAATCATTTGTCCGCGGCAAAACTGTTTCAGCCAAGTTTGTTTGGGGAGTTTAAAACCAAGTTTCCCGAAAAAGAGTTACACGCTGCTGCGGAACTATTTAGCCTAAATAAAACTGAATTGAAACAGGAGTTAAATGTTATTTACAATAGGGATGATTTTTCAACGGCCACAGGGTCATTAAGACTACTCAACTTTGTCTATGACAACAACCTCAAAGATGTGCTTCCAGAGTCAATCAAACTTTTAAAAATCATAAGCACAATACCTATGACTACTTCGGAAAGTGAACGTTGTTTCTCTACTTTGAAACGAATTAAAACGTTTACCAGGAGTACCATGAAACAAGACAGACTAAGTGCGCTTGCTATGTGTTCTATCGAAAAAAAGCTGTTGTCAACTTTAAACTTCAACGAAAAAGTAATAGATCACTTCGCCGGGCAGAAAGAAAGGAGGATGGATTTCACATTCAAACAGTACAATTAAAGTTAGGCCTTATCCTCATGGTATGGTTTTCTACTCATATTACCGTGGATGTTTTAATATAAAATACAATTAGTCAAGCCTTACCCTCATGGTTTGGTTTTCTATTCGTTATTGCCGTGGGTGTTTAAATTATACAATTCAATCATTGTCAGGCCTTACCGTTTGGTTATCTACTCATTATTGCCGTGGATTTTTTACTATTAAATTATCAATTGTTAGTTATATTTTCAATACAGTGTAGTCCCGTTTTACAAGGCCGTAGGCAGGGAGGGGGGTTAGAGAGTCAAACCCCTCCCCCAAAATTCCGAAATTGAGCAGTACAAATTAAAACTAGGTTTAAAAAGTTGAATTATGAAATAGAAACCACAATAGAGGATTAATTGTTATGTTTTGCAATATCTATTCATATTTAATATAGGCCTAGTTCTATTGGGATAATAAATCTGATCTATTAAATAAATTGGTAAAAACTATTTAAAAAATATACTTTACTTTATTCTACTTATGTCTATTTGCTCATGCATGACAAACAACAGGTGAAATGGGAGTTTTTGGACTATTATTGGACACAGTTTTAGGCGTTAAAATTGCTTTAAAAAGTCACCAAACGGCTTTAAAATTTTAAAAATTTTTCCGGGGGAGGACCCCCGGACCACCCTCTTTTATTGGGGGGTGCTCCACACCCCCCAAACCCCCCGGAGTCCCCCCCTAGACAAGGTCCTAGAGCCGCCACTGAATAAAATTTCAAAGAAATTGAAAGATGTCTGGAGATACCGGTACCATAGATTAATTAATATAATTAATATATATATAATGAAGTGATGGTGTTTATTTATTCTATGCCGGTACTATGGATTTAGTAACCATATACCAAAATTCATCAAAATTAGACCATGGGTGTAGTCTGTTTCTCTCTAGCCCATCCACACTCACACATACAGACATCACTTCGAAAACCAGGTTCAGGGGGACACAAAACGGTTATTTCCATCCAAAACTCAAACTTGAAAATTTTGGAAAAAACTTTCTCCATAAATGTTTTGCTGTTCAACCCTTCTGTAATAAATAAACAACTACCGGTACCTACTCTAAATTTTTTTACCAAACCCTCGCTTAACTTATCTAACTACAGTACCTCTATGTAAACAAGATCAAAAATGTCAGCAGGAACCAGATCCCAAGCTGTGAGTTTAAAAACTATGTCATACGCTTAGAAAGCAAAAAGGGTATTGATTGAAATTTCTGGTCCAAAATTTTAAAAGTAGTTTTTCTTAATACCATAATAGAAACAGGTGATGTGTTTGAAGTTTTTCAGAACCAATTCATATAAAGAAGCATTTGATTTGTGTAGAGGTTAATCACAACGACCACCTCCACCTGAGGTACTATTTCCTTCACAGGCTCCTAAACTATATTTGAACCTAAAAGCAGTTGTTGCTAGCAAATATTTCAGAATGATAATGGTTGATCTTCAGCCAGCAAGTGATATAGCTGTTGACACTGAATTAACTCCATTATTGGCAGTTTTCCTCTGCAATTTAATTATGTATCTGCTTAGTCCTATAGTTGACCCAAAAAGGGTTGTGATAATGAATCCCATGATAGTGTAGTATTATTTTTTTTCATAACAGTGTATTAATTGTGTATTGTTCTAAGAGTGTTTTTGTTTTACCTGAAACCATTACATCAAATCCTTTTGCTCTTTGGATGCTAACTTCATGTTTGTACAAGTTCACATTAATTTTCACTGATACAACCAACACATTGACTTCAATTAATATAATAACCAATATTTTTAAATAGTCAAGAAACATGATCTAAAATTTTCTTCATGAAACATATCTTCAGTTTTGGTCAAATGTTGTTTTGGATTATTTAGGCACTTTAATTTTCCAGTTTATCACTGAAATTTCGAAATAGTTATTCTAATTATTGCTCATATTTTAGAATTTAGATACCGGTAAAACAAAACCTATTCAGGAGTTAAATATTACAAAGAACAATTTAGAGTGTAAATATTTATTCATCCATACTATTAATCCAAACAAATAACATCTTAGGCACAGTCCAAGAGTTAATAGTAAGAAACAAGGTTTTAGAAAATATTATTACCTCTAGATGTATACTAGTATTAAGTTTTTAGCAATAAAATAAGTAAAAATAAAAGAAAAATGAAAAAAAAATATTCTAATTTGTTCAATTACCTGATAGTGAAACCTGAAAACCTTTTGTCCCTAGGAACTTAACACTTTGTTTATATTTATGATTGGTAAAACAATAACTATTACTAAAAAGAAAAAGACTTAGGAAAAAGATAACTAAATGCAAACATGTTACCCATGTCATGACTTGACTTTTCAGCAATAAAGGAGGCTACACGAAACTTGTGATAATTTTCCGCGCTTTACATATAGTGACAAGTGTAAAATCGCTGTCAATGAAATGAAGCTATTGCTACAGACTCTGTTAACTTTGTTATTATTTCAGTTGAGATGGTAGCAAAATTAATATTTTTATTATTACTATAGCAAACAATATCACATCACTATACTCTTGAATAATATCTAAAAAGCTGAAATCAAATCAAATATTTCTCTTAGTTATGTTAATCTTTTTGAAATTTACTAGGCTATGTTACCTTACCTTATAAAATCATTAAGTTTTAACAAAAAAGATATAGCTGTTTTAATAGGCTACAGCAGTTCAGAATAAAATTGAATCAATACTCTTTCGGGACATCTTTGAAATAAACCATCACTTGCAAGATCTTTACGGAGTTAATCTTTTTGGGTCTCTTGGAAACATGGATGCCCTTCTCACATTGTCCAACCCGAGGTACAAGGCCACTGTTCGCTCTAGTCCAATACCTCCTCCTGCATGAGGAGGACAGCCATACTGAAACGCTTCTACATAAGCTTTGATCTTCTCCAGGTCTACCCCATGACGTAGAGCAGATTCTTTTAGATTATTAACATCATGGATCCTCTGTCCTCCTGACATTACTTCTTCCCCTCTGATGAAAACGTCGTAAGAATTTGATAACCTTGGAATTTCAGGATCTGCCATGATGTAGAAAGGCCGTATGGAAAGAGGAAATTTATCCAGGATAAAAAAGTCTGTCTTATATTTTTTCTTAACTAAAGCCCCCAACAATTTCTCTTGTTTCCCAGAGAGATCATCACCTTCTTCAATATTGTCTCCTGCATTTTTAAGCATAGAAATTCCTTCTGAATAGTTGAGCCTTGGAGAGGGTTTGACAAATATTAGTGGACTAGAGTTGTAGCGTTCCCCGATAACCTTGATTTCATGTTTGTATTTCTTTTGTAGGATTTCAAACATTTCGATGAATGTATCCTCTAAGACGTCCAGCACTTCGCTGTAATGGTATTTAAAAGCCATTTCAAAGTCCAAGCCGACGAATTCTGTAAGATGACGGGCTGTATCACTTTGTTCTGCTCGAAACACAGCACCGACTGTAAATACTTTATTGAAATCTGCAGCGATTGCCATTTGTTTGTACAACTGCGGACTTTGAGCCAAATAAGCTGAAGTTTTAAAATAAGACACGCTGAATACATCGGCACCCCCTTCACTGGCAGCACTGATTATTTTCGGAGTGTGAATCTCAATAAAGCCTTTCTTACTCAGAACTTCTCTGAATGTTTGACTCACTCCTGATACCACTCTAAATATTGCCTGATTTGTGGGTGTCCTCAAGTCTAACACTCGGTAGTCCAACTTCTTGTCCAAACTGACATGAATTAACCCCTCCTTTCTTGGCTTCCCTATTTCTTCCTTTATATCTGGGTTCATGCAGTCGATGACTTGTATGGGCAAAATATCCGCCTCATTTATAACCCAAACTTCTTTGATAAGAATTTCTATAAATTTCTCAGTACAAGACCTAATTTCTGAAGAAGTAACTTGAACCTGTCCAACAATATCGATTATGGATTCTCTGTTGATACATGAGACAAACTTGACCATATCTCGGCTAATGCTAACTTCATCTGCACGGAGAAAACACTGAATCGTTCTGTCTTGTTGTCGAAGGATCACAAAACATTGTTTACCCCTAGCTCGACTCTGGTGGAGTCTGCCTCTTATAAGAACAGTTTGATTTCCCATCAACTTATTTATTTCCTTCACTTGAGTAAATGGTTTGTTATAAATGTTTTTTGTATTATTGTTGCTGCCGAATTTTCCTTCAGACACTTCATTGAGGTTGATAGCACTTTGTATTTGTCTTTTTTGCCGCTCTTGATAATCATGTCTCAAACCTGCCAAATCATCATACTTTTTCTTATCATAATCTAAATTGATTTTAAATACATTTTTTACATCATCTTTTGCAATTTGAGAGGACAAATAACACTATTATTTGTTTGACAATGTGTGAGAATGAAGTACCTAATTATATTGTAACTTTCCGAAACTGACTAATGAAACAATGTCACATTTAAAATTGGTAACCATCTGAGGATGACTTCAGTAACTATAACAAAGTATTTTAATAATATGACTTTTATTTTTTTCTTTGTGTATGTATATGTACTGTTTCATTTCTCAAATTGAAGTTTCACCGATCTCCAACTATCATAAAGAGCTCTGCTAAATAAATAAATAGGTAAATCAGAACTACAAATAAGCTAACATCTTTTTAAATATTCAAAATAAAAGTTCTTAAAATTTGATTAATATAATTGTTTTAGGTACATATTGCTTTACTTTACTAGCTTTAAAAAACACAATACCTTGTAATAAGTAATACGAATTTTGAACCAATTTATAAATCAAAACATTCACAGCTAATAAATAATTTACCTTCAATCGTTACACTGAATCCATTCGGCTCCAAAAGAGTGACCTTTGGAGAATACTTATGGTCTTTATCTTGATGTGATGATTTTATTGAATTAAAACACATTAGTAAAATCACAGCCTTTGTTGACATTTCACTATAAATTTGTACTTTAATTACTGTCTCAGTCTTAAAAGTTCACTTTGCCAAAAAAATCTGCTTTATAAATGATACTACAAGAACACAACATTGAATCCATATTATGTTAATATATAATGTTGCACTAAATTATAAAACCTTGGTTGCACGTTCAAAAACTAAATTCACTCAGTGTGCATATTGGAGTGATAATTACTTGCTGTGACAAAAACTGTAAATGTGAGAACTTTTATCAGATGCTTTGCCAACGTCTGGAGTCATAAACTATCGTGACGTGATAAAACAGATCGTAACATTCGCCTAGACCCTAGACCACCTTTCTGTTCAAACCCAAACCTCTGTTTGTAGACGTAATGGTGATTCATGGGTCTTATCAAGATTCATTATGGATAACAACTTTTGTAATCAAGCGGGAGGCTTATACGTGTTGTCTATTCTGTCTTCTGAGAGTTTGTATTGTGTAAGAATATTGTGGGACTGATAAGGTTCTACAGCCTTAAATTCATGTGTTTAGAATTGACTTCCTGTGATTTTATTTTTAAAAACCTAAACTAAAACAGATTTGCTAAAACATTGGTCCTGTTACAAAGGCGAAACAAGCTCTCTAAACCACTTCTTAATCTAGGTTTAAGTTACTTATTTTGTTTTAACATAAAAAATACTTCGCAAGTTTTAGCCTCTTACCTAAAATAACTGTGTATATTTTTTCATGATACACATTTAGTTTAGCAGACACCTTTTATTCATCAGGTTCTATTTTAACAAATTACTCTCTTTTGCCGTAAATTTATCCATTTTATATTTTAGGAAATTTTTCAAGTATTCCTTGTATTACAAGCAAAATTTGTATTTTTAATTTAATTCAACACCTTGCCCAACAACCTTACCTAAACAGGGTGTCTACCAGATCACTAAATGTTTAATCGGGGACTTTTTGTTACCTAATTTAATAAAATCATGACCATGGAATGTGTTCCCCATGGAATTTGATCTTACAAACAAAAAATATAAAATATAGCCTACCAGTAGAAATACTTAAATATAATGGTATATTAAGTTAGTAGTCCTGAAAATAGGTGTTTACCCGAGGAATGTGGTCGTTCCCGTGCGAGATGAGGTCGGGTGCGGGATTACCATACGAGTCTGGTAAACACATTTTGGATGAGTGGCGTACGATATTTTACGCCTTACTACTCTTAAAGCTAACCTAACAATAAAAAATCTTTATAAATAGATACCCACCGACAAAAGGACTAACAATCACTACTCATAACCTCAAAGAGAGATTATGATTTTGTTTATTACCACTCATTGCCAAATATAATCAGCTGGTTGGTGTCCGGTAAAAACTCATTACAGTACAGTAGTATGTAATGAAACCCGATTTGATTAAGCTGGCGGTAAACAGCTACTACTGTACTGTAATGAGTTTTTACCAGACACCAACCAGCTGATTATACTGTACTTATTTGGCAATGGTGGTGAGTCGGTGGCTCAGTCGGTAGTGTCGCGGACTTCGGGCTCAAGGCAGTAGTGTCGTGGGTTCGGATCCTGGTCACTGCCACTAACTTTTATCAGTACAGTTCACCTTTGTACTGTACCGGCTCACCCCTTGCTTAGTTGGAAACATTCCACGAACAGATCTGTAGTCTATATGGACGGGCAAATGCAAGGTTACAAGAGGCCGCCGACCTCTTAATAAAAAATAAAAATAAATAATGAGTTGTTATAAATAAAAACATGACCTCTCTTTGAGGTTAGGAGTAGTGATTGTTGTTTAATCCATGTTGTTAGTCATTTAGTCGGTGGTTATATATGAGGATTTGTAAAGATTTTTTATTGATAAGTTAGCTTAGATATTGTACGTCACTCGTCCAAAATGTGTTTACCGGACTCATATGGTAATCCCGCGCAAGACGAAGTAAACACCTATTTTAAGGACTAGTAATTAACTATTTTATTGACCTTAGTCAGAAAATACACAACTTTCAGTGACTTCCATGACCCTCTACTAAAATACAGGACTTTTGGGGACTTCCGTGAACAATGTACACCCTGCTGCTGGATATTGTTAGTAATTATTATAACCATAACCCAAACAGTTTGAATAGTTTTAGTTTTAATGGTTAAACGGATGTTTATGGTTTGGTTTGTATGTTATGGCACCTTGTAACCAGCCTTACAAGCTTATACATACATTTGAAGGTACATAATGGCTAATTGTAATCACTAACTATCAAGACCTTACTTAATGTCATACATTTTTTACATGTCAACTTCGTTAACCACTGGAAAATGGTCCAGAAGAAATTATAACAGATAGAGTTCACATTTCATCAACTTGATCATCTGTCAGTGGACCAGTTTAACGTGGTTTACTCTAATTAAACTGTTAACATTGTTCTTACACCTTTTGTAGGCTAATCAATATTATACAAAAATGTTAATTTATCAAAAACCTACAAAATAAAATAAAAAAATTATCATGTGTAAGGATTAAAACCAACAAAACAAAACACAAAGTTACAAATAAATCTTTATTTTGCCCTTTGACCATTGCAACCAAACACTAGTGCTAAAAATAAATAAATAAAATAAAAAAAAGTAACTAAGCTAAAGAACTAAAACAGAAAAAACCGTTCGGTTCATATTTCTGTGTGTTAATAACTTTTGATATGCCAACATTCTTCAGTTGCTTAGTGTTAAAACTAAATTTAAAATGAGGAACTTAACTTAATAATCCATTTACAGATAACTTAAAAGTAAATAAAATAATTATGTTTAAACTGTACATACCACGAGGTTAACTCAAAGGGGAATGTCTAGGCAAGCATATACATGCGATGATAAGTCTTTATTGGTAAAATGGCACCAGTAAAGTTATAAGGGTAGAAAGCATTTTGCACTACAATGGGTAAAATGGTTTGCACTACAACATTATATCCAGCCCAAAGTATGCACTGCATGTTTGATTTTAGTTTTGGGATACCTAAAGCTGTTGTAAATAATATAACCACGGATTAAATAAATAGTTTTTATTGTATACTTCACAATTGACACAACACTAAATAATTATCTTGTAGCATAGACAAGAGTGATTTATATACAATACATACAAGCTATTCCACCTTACGGCAGGATCCAGTTTATTGCAATATAAAGATCTCTAATTAGGGGTATTACAAGCACTAAGTATAAAATAAACAAACCCACTATTTCATTGTAATGTTAGAAAAATGTTTAAAACCCAAGAATGTTACCAAAATAATGTCACTAATTACACTGCTATCAAAAATGTAAACCCAAGATATTGTTCAAATAACACTTAAACCTGCCATTTGTCTACGATTTTATACAAATGAATGATTGTAGCGTAAATGATTATGTTTCATTCAGTAAAACAGATTTGTGTTTTAAGTAGATAGAAATATTTAGCGTTGGCCTCATGAAATTTAACTTATTATATCTACACTAAACTTGCATGTTTTCAATCCGGAAAAAGTTTTGCTACTTAACTTCTTTATAAATTTTTATAAAGCCGAAACCAAATATTTTTAATGGCTCTCTGCATCAGTTCAATTAATAACCAATTAAAAACATTTTGTTTCATTTACTGTAGTTGGACAAAATATAATAAAAAATTTAGAAAAACAAAGACCCTATTGTATTGCAACAATGGAATTTGTTAAGAAAATGTTAATCGATGTATTTTTTTATTAGTTGTATTGCTTCTGTTTACTATTCTAGAAAAGTTTTACTTTTCCTGGCAATCAAACACATTATATAAAAACAGACATTAGTGATACGATGACAGGATATGACATAAAAATATGTAGTCTATAATGTTGGTCTGTACTTAAGCATATGTTACAGCTATCACAATTTGTATTATACAGTGATGTCTATTGTATCCAGTCTTTAACATTTTACTCTAAATTAAAGCAAATCGGACGATATAAGAATGTTACAATAATTTCCAGATAAAGTCCAGATAACTGAAAATGTAAAAAATAAAAGTTTCAATGGATGTATATAAATTCAAAATTATGTTTTTTTTATTTAACACGGAATTAGTGAACTGGAAAGGAATTGATTTGTCAGTTTATAAAAACCATCCATACTGTAATTTTACAAACGATATATACTTTCAAAGGCATACATTTAGTCTACATGTTTTTTATGGAGACGCAAGTTGTTTAAATCTATAATTTAAATTACATCACAAAATATTGTTATTTAAGAAAAGATAAGTTACCCTTATAAACTTTAACAACACTGATCTAATTTTATTCATGCACAATAACTGTAGGTTATAACCTTAACGGTTTGATTTCACATTTTAAAAATTAATTCTGAAAAAAACCTACGTAATAACAGTATAAAAGAGTAAGCAGAATATACAAAGCGTAGAAAGTTTACTCTTCAGACATTCAATAGAGAATAAAAATAATAACTCGCACTATTTTAAATGTATACGAATCACACTTGACTTTTATCAGAACACTTTCAGTTTTAAAATATGATTACACCATAAACTGAGCAAAACTAATGATAACCTACAACTACAAATAATTCAATTAAACTGAATATGACTGAGTCGATATGACTTTTGGAATACATATAAACGTTTCTAATCTAATATGGAAAACTACACTTTTCAAAATGAATATTACACTAAATTAACAACAGTCCAAATCAAAACGTTTGTAATTAATTATTTGATAAAGATCTCAATAAAATAACAAATACACAGCAATATAAAATATTAAAATGATCCTAAAACAATGATAAAACATAGATACGAATAATCAATAGCACAACCCGTGTAGACCTCCACACAAAAATGCAAACAACAGTGAAATAAAATTCAACAAAATAATATAAAACAACAGATAACATCACAAAAATAACCACAAGTTGTGTTTACAGGAAGACTCGATAACCACACCGTAATCAAAAACGTAACAAACACAGTCGCCTACTCTACCTAAACGAAACCTCGATGAAAGTCGATATTCAGTAATCTGTATACACGATTTAGAATTTGTAAAAATATTTATCACATGTAGACGATATAATGTCTTTTACGCATAAAAATAAGTCGGGTTCGGATGAATGCTTGGCACAAAGCCGACGTGCGGTCTACCCTCAACACACTATCACTTAACATTCAATCAGTCTTAGTATATGAAATCATCTAGCAACAAAGAGAGAAATGATTGTTTATCTAATAGAGGAAAGGCATTTGGTCGCTAATCTCATAGAGATTATTTGGTTTGTTGTACAAAATCAAGATTAACCTCCTTTGCCCGTTTTGTCAAAAAGCATTTAAAACTTTCTGATTTAAGTAATAACAATACTAAAATTATACGCTAATAATTTTATGATTTTAATAATTTAAGTAAGGTGGAGGTATAAGAAGACTTGATAACAGCTTTTTTAAGACAGACTTGTATAGAAACAAACTGACACAAAAGGTAGAAAGATTACATGAGTGGCCTGGGGCAGACCGCAACCGTGGGCAAAGGTCGGATATAGCACCAGACCAGAGGAGTGCCCGGTCCATGCTTGGCGTGGCTCATCTCTCAGCTATTTACACATACAAAAATCACATTCCCCGTAGAAAAATAACTATTCTCCTAGGTGTGAGCGCCGGCCGCTATCACCGGCTGACTGCACCGGCGCCGTTCTGCCTCACTCCACCATCTGCACTCCAGCCTCATTCCGCTTTACGCACTTTCTTTTTTGCAGATTTTTTCTGGTTTTTCGGTTCTATCCAGGAATCTACAACACAATTGACCAGTTAAAAGATATAATAATAAAGCCAAAATCTATCAGAGCAGGTATGAAAAGTAACTACCCGCTCTAAAAACGGTTTAGAAAATGTATAAAGAATTAAAAGTAGGTTTGGGGAAATCACAGAGTGAGATGCCTTGGTTCAACCACTGGATGCTAGAAGCCAGTATTGCCGTTCAACGACGGTTGGTACAACTGCAGCGGCCTCCATAGCTGCACATCCCCACCCACATTTCCACATGTCAACAAAGTGACATTACGGACTCTCTTGTCGGCAAAGGGATTTCTGTAGATACAAATTTAAATTTACGAGAGTTGCAACACAACTACTGACAATTAAATAACTTGTTGAAAAAGAGCTCTTTGATATTTTTCCATTTAATTTAAAAAGACGGTTATGTGGCCTGATAACAATGTAATTTGTTGACCAACTGATGCCGTTATCATGAGCCAATGATAAAAATCTTTTCCAAAATAAACAAAAAGAACATACATACCTCCTAGTTCATCAAAAGCAGGCTGGGGCTCTGAAAAAGAACAAAAAAACTTGAAATTTCACATCTATCAATACAAAAATATAAACCATATTTCAGTCAGAAACGTGTTTTAGGATGTACTTAGCAAAAATCACACAACTGAAAGTGAATGAATGTGAAATGTTTGAAGTGTGCCTGTATTGGGTATGGTATGTTAAATTCATGAACATTTTTGCACATTCAATTATCTTTCCAGCAGTATAGCCTTACATAAATGTGGTCACTGCCTAGGAGGATTAAACATTAAGGAGAGGACACGCGAATAGGGATATACATGTTGCGGTGAAGCCAACTTTAGCAGAACACTAGAGGGGCACGCGGATCCAAAGATTTGCAAAAAGCCGCAGCTATATAATTAAAATAATCTTTATTTGTAAGAAGAATAAAATACATACATAAATAGTGTCAAAATACAGGTATGAAAAAAGTATAATCAAAGGTTTCTTAGAATTATCAATGCAAAAATTAACATTACTTCCTACAACTCATCGAAAGATCAGTCTGTGTACTTTCACACAAAAATTTGAAATTCTGAGATGGATGAATGAAACTAATGACAAATAACTAAATCTATTGTCATGCTTTCAAAAGGAGAATATATTTTAGTGGTTACCTTCAGCAGGTTTGGCAGGTTTGGGAGGTTCCGGAACAGCCGGCTCCTCAATAGGTTTCTTCACCTCAGCCACAGTAACTGCTGTAGGCTGAGTCTCAGCCTCTTTGGCTGCTGGCTTCTTCTTCTTCTTCTTGGCAGCTTTACCTTCCCCTTCAGACTCTACGCTTGCAGCAGTCTCCACAGCTGGAGTTTCCTCTACTGGCCTAGAGAAACAAAAGATTATAAGCGTTTAACATTCCTGTAGACAAGTAAATGCAACTAAACTTGTATTACAAAGTATTGCATACATATTATATATAGCCTATTTAATATTTTATATAACATATGTAACAACACATGTTGACCTTGTCTATTATGTTTATATTACCAAATGACAATAAAGATTAATTATTATTATTATATGATACCCCCGCCGCAACAAATCTGCAGACTAAGCGAATTTCCATTTGACTGATTGGATTTACAATCAAATGTCTACTTAAAATTATCACATTTATTCCCTATTTCCCTGGTTTGCAAACTCGTTCGAATAAATGTAGGTTCACTTGTTTGTACCAAATTTCATCAAAATCGGATCATTTTTGCTTGAGTTATCGTGCTAACGGACACACACACATATATATATATATATATATATATATACAATTGTTTAAATAAAGGGCTACTATTATAAATAATGAAGAAAGCATATTAACTCAGTACCCTGAAATTATTTTTATTTTTAAAACTCTACATGTTTTGACCTTTAGGCCATTTACAATTAACATTTAAGTGAGGTTAAATGTTACTCTTGTAAATGGCCTAAAGGTCGAAACATGTAGAGTTTTAAAAATAAAAATAATTTCAGGGTACTGAGTTAATATGCTTTCTTCATTATATATATATATATAATAGATGAATTTGAACGGATGGTGTTTTTGGCTTCTAGGGACCTCAAAACGAAAAAGTACATCGGTCTTGTGTCCAGGTCTTACCATGAGTACTACAGTAATAACTTATTCTCTATATCTGAAATTCGCTAAAAGGAAAGCCAAATGGCAAGTGGCTAGATATTTTTTTAAAGGGATAGGGTTCAGTTAGCAAGAACATATTCATCCAGGGATGGATACAAAATTCATAGTCAAAAAAACATGTATAACACTGATATAGGGTATCTTTATATGAACTCCTTATAGAGTAGATTGAATAGAAAATATTTGAAAGTAAGATAGGCGAACCCTATCTCTTTTCAAAGAAATTCCTAAGGTATTATAACAGATGTACTATATTTCACTGAACATTATTGTAATGTGCTTGTTTAAAATTATGAATAGCAGGACTTCTCTTTTTTGAAAAGGTAAATAAAACAAAGCAGCTTACATTCTGGTGAATACATAAACAATAATAATTTTTACAAAAAAATGGCCATAAAATCTTTAGTTCAAAGACTCGCTTGTCTGCAAATTTTGCAGCTAAGAGCAGTTTTAGAAAACTAGAAATATACCTGTGTACAGATACTCGATTTGTTGTATAGGCAATACAATTAGTCGATAGTTTCACTTAACATAACTTTCGAATTTGGAATAATTATAAATATAAAATAAGGGAGCTATTTGGTAAAATATACTGAGTGTATATAATATCAGTGCAGAAGTCCATATTACATTTTATTTAAAGTTGCCTCCAGACATTTTACATAAGGTTGCGTATAAACCTACTTATGGGCAAACTGGAAACATATTCCATCCAAAGTATTTAGTGTCTACATATGGTACATATGTAATAACACTCTTTGGATAACTAATTCATCATTCAATGGTGCTAATGGTGTTAGTATACAAAGTTCAAATGAACTTGGTGAACTATGACTGAGTCAGATTACACCACCAGCTGGGTAAACACAGATGCATTGCCAGATATCACAAAACTGATCTGCTGACACTACCAACACACACTACTAAGGTGACAACAATATTTGCATACCGTATTAAAAAAAATCTTAAATTTAGACACAAACCTGGTCAAAATACTCTAATGCACACAAGTATCTTCAGATAATTATATTTTACGTATTGTTCCACAATTTTTTTAAAGAAATTTCAAAAGTGCTTAGGGAATTTTCTACTAATTAATTGCCGGTACAAGTTTACACAATAAATTAAAAATATTTCCACAGTCTATTTAGACAGATTTTAAACTTGAAATGAATATCACTGAATTACTTTTATAATGGGTTTAGTTCAAATACAACTAGCTTTAATATTGTAATAAACGTAACGTAGCTAGCTTTCACTAATTTCCAGGCAATGGCAGAATGCATTACATAGGGATTTTGGTATTAGTCTGACTGTGCCATCGCCTATCTGTGACAATAATACTGCGGTAAAATAATATTGTGAACGATTTGCAATGGTCTTGTGGTGATCGTCACTGCCTCCCACAATCGAGACAAAAATTTGGTTGATCACCCACAATCAGGGAAACATTATCATTGGTTTTTCGATCATGGAAATGTTTATCTTTATCCTCCACAATCACGGCAAAATATTGAACCTCTCAAACACTCACTTGGGTTTGTCTTTCTTCTGTTCTTTCTCCTTCTTTGCAGGCTTCTCCTTGTTCTCCTTGGTAGACTCCACAGGAGGTGCAGTGACAGGGGCTGGGGCTGGGGCCGGAATCTCTTTCTCTACTACAACCTCAGGCTCTGGCTTGGCCTTCTTCTTCTTTCCTGGGCTGGTGGCTTCAGTCTTTGCTGTAACAAAGGAAAGTTAATCCCATTTCAATCGATGTATTGACAAAATACTCTATGCTATCTATAAATAAGAGACTCACTGCCTGCCTTTTGGAAACACTTTTTTCTTAAATTTTTTTTAAGATCTGATTTTGGGCTTCTAGTAAAACTTAGACATTTATTTTACTACCTACATCATAAAAATGTATACTAACCAGATAATCTAGTGAAGATTGCTATTTGGTAATTCGGTAGGCCTACACTTATTTCACACCAAATATTGAGACGACTAGGAAAGTCTCTTTATCTTTATAATTAAAAATTAAAATGTAAATTATGATAAAGCCATAGGTCTATAATTAATTACACCAAATTGTTTTGTAAAAAACATGAATTGAGTTAAAAGATTAAATTTGTTGAGAACCTACATCTTTTTACATTTCATTTGTGCACTGAAGCTCCATGACACACTAACTTAATACTTTACTTTTCAAAATTTCTCTTCGACCTTCCTCTCATAAGAGACCTACTGTACATTAGGGCAAATTTCATAATGAAATTGTATGACTCCAAAAACCTTGAATATGTAGTGTTTAAAATCCAATAAACTTTACAAACCATTGTGGTAGCATACGTAGCAGTGTAAAATTGTAGGGATATAGAATAGTCCTAGTACAAATTAGTATGGAAAAAATTATTTTATTACAAAATAATGAAATTAAAATACTTTTAGTAATTTATATTAAGGTCAACATTTTAACTTTTATAAAAATTACAACTAGGCCTAAACAAGTTTGTAATGATGAAATATTAATCTCAGTGTTGTGAATATTATTATAGTTTAGACAAAAATAAAACTAAAATAAGACTCGTGTAAAATAAAAAACTTTTAACTTAGTTGATAATAAACTTATATGTTAACACAATATTAGTGTTTTGGATAACATAACAGTTTATAGATTAAATAAAAAAAATAAAAGTAGATTTGTTTCAGAGTGATTAGAGATTCATTTGTGTAAATCCTTAATTGTGGAATGAAAATGGCTTTTGTAGATTTTTTTAAATATATTCAGAGAATTGTAATTTCATTTAAGTTATAAAAAATAAGAGTTTTAAAGGTTATACCGATACACAAAGCCTATCATTCTTTAATGTTATTTTAATCTACTTATTAGCAAACAGTCAGTTAGCCTGCTCCAAATACAGTAAACCTTCAATAGTTTGATATGTTTAGGTACTAATTGTAATCAGATCATATAAACTGGTCCTCTTGCCAATATTGTTGCATAACTTATTCAAAAAATATTAAATTTTTAAATGTTGAAACTACTGTAATATTTGTATTAAAGTTTCACAAGTATTTACACTGTCAATAAAATGACAGGTTTGAACTAAAGAAACTCAGGTCACAACGAACAAGTAGTAGGGGCTACACATATACCTAATTTCAAGTAGATGTATTCTGTGCGATAAAATGTTGGCAGAACTGGCAATCTATAAATAGTCCTCACCTTATGCTGCCCTGCATTATGCAGAACACAGTATGCTGCACCACTTATATCTAGTACTAAACATAAACTTGTTCTAAACATAACCATGGACCAATGACTAAAAAGAAATAGAAATCTTAGTTTAACACAACAAGTGGAGGAATCTATCAGATTTGGACATATATTTCACCTATGGTGGTTAAACCTAAAGAAGTCTGTGTTTACCTGCAGTCTTAGCTGCGGCTTTTTCATCATCAGTGGTTGGAGTCTTGGGGGCTTTCTTGGAAACTGTGACCCACTCTCCTACACAAATCAGGTGAGTAAAATACTTAAGTTTTACAGGAATTGAAAAAATCTTGGATTTTGTTAGTATAAACAAAAACAAATTACATAACTAAATATTTTTTGTGAACAAAGGGCAAAAAAAAAAAATTATCTGATGGGCTTAGGATGGCCGTAGCTCTCATCCCCGACACTTGGGGTGGTAACAAGAGAACCACTCAAGAAGCGCCCCCACCTCCGAGCAGTCAGTAGTACTTCAGTCACAAAACGTCTCTACACGATTCCCCAGAAAAAAATATCTGGCAAAAGCCTACCTATATTAAAAATCACAAGACTATTCAAACACTGGTAAGGGTAGAGCAACGTGATAACGCTCTATTTCATTACCAGTTACGTTTAAAATTATTATTTAAAGTTATTTAGTATTTTGTCAATCACGCATGTTCAAGGCAGGATTCTGCGTGCACGAGTATGTGTAGATTCTGTCTTAAACGAGGCTTTGGTGGTTACCAATAAACATTGATTTTATTTCATGACATTAACGCCACATGCTGGGTTAATTGAATAGGCTACTAATTCCAAATTCAAACAGAAATTAGTTACAAACGACTCTAGTGATTGTACGAGTTATTATTAGGATGCGTTTTACTTTAACCAAGTAGCCTACAATGAACAATTTTTGTTGTAGGCCTATAATGCTCGTAAAATTATTTGGTTTTATTCTTAAATTCACACGGTATTATTTATTCAAAATTCTATCTTAACACATATTTCGAGTGGTTGTGATGATTATTCGTTAAAGGTAATCTAATAGGCCTATATATATATTTTTTTTGTCCTAGGATGCTGGGAATGAGCCTGGGATTGTTTTTCACATTACTTCAGGCTAGACCTAGGGGTTGCGGCATTATCACTTAGATAAAATCCATTGGTGATTTGGCGGGATTTGAACCCGGGACCTTTTGGACCAAGTCCCGCGCTCTAACCACTAGGCCAGCTCGCTCCTCTGGTAATCTAATAGGCCTATAGTTATTATTGTTGTAATAATATTCCGAGCCAATAATATCGAAACGATAATAAATTTACGAATCCTGGACTGAAATAGTAGGATTGTAAGCTAGGCTATCCGTATAAGATTAAGGTACCGTACATGACTAACAAACTATTACGCATTTTACAGAAACCACAATATATCACAGTCAGTTTTGTCCCACACCGAATTTTCCGTCACAAATTTATCTTTTTGAGAAAATAATAATAATACTATAGGCTATAGAAAGTATCAGGATAATATCTAAGTGAAGAAAATTAAAGCCTACCGCTTTCATAATCTTCCGGTTTTTCCTCATGCTTCTTAGATTTATCCTTGTTTTTCTTATTTTGCACCTCTACATTTTCTTTTCCCTTGCTCTTGTTTTGCTTGTTAGATTGCTGATCTTTCTGTTGCTTGTTTCCAGCATCTTTAGCCTTTCCTTGCTTCTGGCTTTCCTCAACAATTTTGTTTGTTTCCTTGATGTTCTTGGTTTCTTTCAGTGCTGCCTTGACAGGGGTAACTTCAGGCTTTCCCTGCTTCTTTTCTTGTTTGCTTACTGTCTTCGGAGCATCTTTTGCTGGTGACTTATCAGCTTGTTTTGCTTTGACCGGGGCTACCTTTGTGCTCGCAGGCTCAGTAGTCTTTTGCTTAGTTTCTGAGACAACTGTTGCTTGCCCATTTGATTGGGATTTCTGAAACAAACAACATTATTATTGAATTAGATTATATTAGTGGTTTGTTATAAAGTAAAATCAATACTGTTCAGTAACTTCTCTTGGGAAAAACATTCCTCTGAGAATTTGTGAAACCGAAAGTCTCAGTAGATGTGCCTCTTATGGCCAGTTTGGTTACACATGGGTTATGATAGGATTATATATTACAACATGAAGAGTTTCAGCTATTTCTGAATCACTGAGCAATATAAGTTACCACAATATATAAAATTGCAAACCAGATTTTTGCTCAGAGCTCATAAAGCATTCTTCCATCTGCTTGGAACCTGTGTCATATGTGTCAGATTGTAGGCTAAGTGGGCAAGAGGGTTAAGTTCTGAAGGGAACATGCGAAATATTAATAGATGAAACATTGCTTCGGTAACAGGGCTTAGGTTAACAATCTACAACCAAAGATAAAACTTTACTATTGCTTTTAATAAGCTTAAATGGGGATCTCGCCCTGATGACTTTTTAACATCTCTTTGATTTAAGCATTAATAGTGTTTCAAACTTATCCACCAAGGTTTTCTTGTACGTGTGTTGGCTGTTGTTAACTTAGGGCCAATGAAATGTTTGCTACGATTTGCCGCAAAGTGTGCTTGATAAGACTGAAATAAGATTCCCAAAGAAAGTATAGTAGAGGCCCAACCAACTATGCCCCGGGTTTTGTATTTAATTGGTGGGTGCTGCTGTTTTAATAACAGCTTTTCTATTATTGTTGTAAAAATTGTATAGCTTGATATACCGTATTCATATTCTAGACATACAATCGATACCCTACTAATACAGAACAAAAATAATGTCTAATTTATGTTAGAGTCTATATCATATCAAACAATTTTTAAATGATTAAATATTATTGCAGGTTCTCTGCATGGAATCTACCCTTGGGCATTAATAATGGCCTGGACTTAATAATTTTGAAGTCAAGTACTTAAATAGGCCTACAGAAGAGGTTCAATCATCAGAAAACCTAAACTAGCCGTAAGTGTCGGATAAGAAAAAAGGTTGTAAAACCTATAAAATTAAAAATCTATTGTTAGAACTATGAATGTTTCTAAGTTGTCAGACCAATTTTTGTCCTTAAAGATTGTCTTCTACAGCCTAAGGAAAGACTTTTTTCTGTTTTGAGGTGATCATCATCTGTGCAGATAACATGGTGCCTAATTAGGCCTAATCAGGAACAGCACTAAGTTACTGTATCTGTAAAATCTTAAGAACCAAGCAATAACACAGGTCTCTGTTAGTACGGTGACTAAGTCATAGGGATAGCATATAAGTATGAAAAGTAAGAAGGGTTGAAGACAAATTGAGAGGTATTTGCCATGCTAACACAATCAAAAGGTAGGCTAGGCCTACAGTTGAGTTCAGGTGCACAAACTGTACAGCGTAGATCAGGCTGTCATACCACACAGATTTAAATGTATAGGTAAACTTGATTGTCTGCTGGGAGAGGGCCGGGTAGACTTCCGTATCTGTTGGCACAAAACCGAATGAAAATATTGATTGTTTCATTCGATACGGTACAGTAGAGTCCCGCAAACTCGGCGTAATGTGGACTGGAAGGGTGCCGAGTTTGTGAAATGCCGGGTTATCGGGAACTAGGGTTAAAAATAAGAACAATACAATTTTTATTCCTTTTAGCTGCCTTATTAATTTATATTTATATTACAAGTCAGTATGAAGTCATTAGATATAGTACAACAAATCCTTGATACGAGTTGCGAATGATTTAACTTGAGCCCAAGTTTAACTCGGACTCAAAAAATCACTAATTTTCTGAGCCAGGTGATGGCCGAGTTATCCAGACTGCCGGGTTATCGAGTGCCGAGTTAGCGGGACTCTACCGTATATCGTTTGGTTAGTTAGGTTAGGTTAACCTTACCTAACTAACCAAATGATATATCGATCGATATTTTCATTCGGTTGTTTGTGATACGGTTCTAAAGTCTACCCACTCGGCCAGATAGCAGTGGTTCTACTGTTCTACTACGGTACTTATTAGTTAGGGGTACTTAATGTGTAAAAAATAGCTAATGAGTCAAATCCAATCCTCTTGCTTAACGAAAAGTTGACACTTGTTCAATCCAGTCATTTGGTCAATTATCGTATGCCTAACTTATATGATGTTCTCATGTGTGCACACAGACCCTAAAATTAAAATGATTTAACAACTCAAACAGAAAATAAGTTCAGGCGAGAATCTGATTTCAATAAGGGAAGGGTAAAAAAGGCAATTTTGGTTAACTTTGGCTCTAGATGCTTTTGTTTCTCTTATTTATGGTTTTGATAATCTAACTTACTTATTAGTATTATTTATCATTAGGCCTATCAATTAGGCCTAAGTTAAGTTAAGATAGGGACGACACCTAACTTATGTGTGTAGGCTACATTTTAACCCAAATTAACTTATGAGTGAAGGGTGGGTTAAGAATGGCATGTGATAAGTTACCCTGTGTAGCTTTGTTACTAACTAAGATCAGCTGTTTCATTAGTCGGGACCACAGCCATCAAAAAGCTACAAACTTTTCTCAAGATCGAACTGGGGACCTTTTGATTACAAGGCGAGCACTAGCCTTTTTAACCACTGAGTTACATCCAACACATCAAATTATTTAGGCTAGGCGACTAACTTGCCTACCGTACCGGTACTGTAAATACTTTAAGATCGATAGAATTACCTAAGGCTGAATAATCGATGGCTCAATTTTTATTCAAGATTTAAAAACAGATTGAACAGTTAAGATTGACTGATAAGTAGTCCTATGAAACAAAGAAGAATTACTGTACTTAGGCCTATATTGAAAAAAACCATTTGCATTGTTTTTATTTTATTTGAAATCGTCTTGGGATCTACTGAAATGGGGTTAGCTTGTATCCAAAAATAGGAGAGACACAAGATGTTGCCTGGGTTACATTTTGGCAAGTAAGTTAGGAACCTAGGCTTCATACTATCTTGGGCTCCTCGGCCATGCCTAAAGTTGACAAAACAAATACTGAGCGCAGAACCAGTAAGTGGCCTCCATTAAGGCAATTTGATGAGAAGATAGTGGTTTATATTCGCCTTATAGACCAATCTGTAGATTTAGATTGAATTTAGCATTATTGCTTTCTCACCTTGTCCTTCACTTTTCGTTTCTTGCCAGCTGGTTTCCGGTCATCAGCTACAGTTGCAAGTTTATCAAATGGAAAGTCTTCCACTGACTTGAAACCAAACACAAACACTAATACTGCACAAATTATTACTAAACCCACTACAAGTCCTGGAAACACAAGTTGAGTATTAACAACTTCTGATATTTCCATTATGGTACTTCTAACACAATCAACATTAATACAGAACACAGTTCATCTACCACCAGATGATCTCGCCATCCCGTTCTAAACAGATGACGACGACGACGCTATGACGTCAACTTGATCAGCAACGTTGCACGCTGCAGCCAACAACAATCGCTAACAGTTTGCCACCTTGTCGAAATTATGCTTTTGGTATAAGAACAATCTTTCTTAGAACGTACTATATAAAGTTTAGATTGTATTTACTAAATTATTAATAAAAGTGGTTTATAAATAAATGTACAGTGACTTTTTTCCAAGCTAATGAATAATAATTTAAATTTTGTTAAAGCCTAAGAATTTACTGTATAAAACCTGTTAACGTGGCCACGTGGTTTGCTGGCACCAGGGGATGGGTTTGAAAAAAAACTCTGTCTAATGGACAAACACATTATTATTATTATTAACAATATCAATTAAGATGGGGACGTCACCTAGGTGTGTTATTTAACCAATTTCATGGCTGATATGAAGGTTGAGTGTAGTATGAAGTGAGATGATCTGTGTAGTATTGACTAAAAACAGCTGTTTCATTAGTCATTAGGGTCATTTATTAAAAATTCCAATGATAAAGCACAGCTGGGTTCAGTTTCAAACCATCAAGAAGCCACACACTTTTCTCAGGATAGAACCGGCGACCTTGATTACTAGGCGAGTACCTGTTAGTAACGTTGTCACGTGGGTTGCTGGCACCCGGGGACGGGTTTGACCAAAAGAAAGTCTAACGGGCAAAGACAATTATGCATTCGCAACCGCAAAGGATCGAAGCGATATCGCAAGTGCTTGAGGATGGTGTGTTGTTTGTGGTTGTGTGAAGACCAACGATATAAACAACTCATGGATCACTGAAGCTTACAATTTAATACACTGTAAAACGTACTTAACTAACTTAAAAACATCTTCGTGTTCCCTAATGAGCTTACCTTTAGTTACATAATCAGTCAGTTGAGTATAATTAACTCAAATTGACTTTTTTTCTGAAAGGAGCACAGCAATACAGTCTTGACATTTGATCTTAGGTACAAGTTTCCTTACAATAAATTTAAGCCACTGTAATATAAGACATTGTGTCCTTATGATATGATTGTTCTTTGCTGTCAAATAAAAGAGACATGGGGATACCAAAACTGCCACGACGTTTTATGATCCATAACCCATACCGAAACCGCCACAGCAATTATGGATTAAGGGTGTTTTTGAGTGGGGTAGAAATACTGAAACTGCCACAGCGGATTCCCCAGGTAGACGGGGAGAAACGGGAAACTTATAATTCCCATTTCTGTCTTAACCTTTTACGTTAACATCCTAACATCTCCTTCACAATAATACGTTGATTGGAAAAAGTAAGTGTTTGATTTACTCTTTCGTATTTATATTTTAGGATTTATTTTATGTTTATTTATAAGGTTTTAGCGAATTTCCCTATAGGGAAGTAGCTATTACCGTAGGTGGCACGGTAAGACCTAGACCCGGGAGCGATTTACTTTTTCATTTTGATGTCCCCAGAGGCCAAAAACACCATTCGTTCAAATTTTTATATATGTATATATATATATATATATATATATAGACTTATATATATATATATATATATATATATACGTCCGTGAACACGATAACTTGAGTAATTTTTGTCCGATTTTGATGAAATTTGGTTTAAAGGTGTAAAGCGGGATAAACTTGAATGAGTTCGCGAACCAGCACGATCGGACCATGGGAACGGGGCTTTATGGGGGGTTTTATGGGGTAAAAATTGGTTTTTCTCACTTTTGACCCTCAAAACACAAAATTTCCCGATTTCTCTTTAGACCTTTTTAAAGAGCTTAAAAAAACAAATAATTTAGTATATAAAAGTATTTTTGTTCGATTATAAGTAACGGAGAAAATTAAAAAAATTGTAAATTTAAAATTCCCATGTTATTCTTATGGAGAATATTGTCAAATGTTGTAGTTTGCTTGTTTATGGATATATTTTGATCAAACTTGGCAAATTTATTTATTTTGTACTAAGCTATCAATATTTTACTCAAAAACACACTTTATTAGTTTCCTTGTAGCAGCAAACCTAGGTACTCGTTAAACCTAATGTTATTAAAATATATTTAACTGAAAATCAATTCAGACAAATGGAAATTCGCTTAGTCGGCAGGTTTGCTGCGGCGGGGGTATTTGATTTTGCAACTGTTGGAGAATTTACTTTTTAAGTATTTATTCCATCTCCTGTGAATGATATAAAGCCTGGACGCATTTATTTCAATGTGCATGTTTTACAATGTACAATTTTAGTTTAACCCACAAAATAAAAACAAAAACACATTTAAGTTAAGTTAAACACGCTGCGAAGAGTTAAAGGAATCGCTTACTCAGACACCTTTGTTTATACCCTATTAGATTAGGTAATTACACGTTAAACGAAATGCCACTGCCTTTCCTGTACACATACTAACGTACAATAGGCACAATTAAAGATACATACATTTTCATAACAGTTAAAAAAACCACACACTCTTTACATCAAACAAGTGTTGAAATGGATGACAGCTAGCATCCACGTGAAGTACGCCGCAGCTATCTTGCCAGCAGAGAGTGGGGGAAGCTAGACCTTAAACAGCGCCCGGGCCCGCTACGCCACTGAGAGCGCAATCCAGTAGTTCTTTACATCTTTGGTGAAGACAACGTGTTCCATTTGAAATACTTTAGTAACGCAACATTGTCTGACATTGCATTGTTATTTTTGAATAATCATTAAGACTGAGGACTATTAAAATGACTAAACTACTGGAGACTCCCTAAGTTCGTGCCTGCCTACAGATCGTGTTAAGATCATAAGAAACTCATCATCAAAACGCTAGGTAACGCATTGCGAGCTTCGAAATCTCCTACCTGTTCATACTGTGGTGAGAGTTGGATGCTCATGTCAAAGGCCCCACTAGAAAAACAGGCTATGCTGCAGGATCCATGACACGTCACACTAGTGGGTAGATTTGTTGATAGATTCACTGCAATATACCATGTTTTAGGTAAATAAGTAATTTAGTAAATATCCACCACTGTGACGTAGTGTTGCGCTGTACTATGGATGGCCTGTTTTTTTTCTAGTGGGGCCTTTCTCAGTCGGTAGCGCGGCGAACTTCGGATCCATGGCAGCGATGTGGGTTTGGATCCTGCTAACTACCACCACCACCGAAAACAAGCATAGGAATAATGACTTTTTTTATCTTTAATAAGGAATTATTGATTCTTTTTTTTTCTAAGCTGATATTAAGCTACCAGTCGACTCTTTTCTTTTGTATTCCAGGTTTCGTGTAAGCCAGTAGTGAACGTATGTTAAAGAATAAAATAATTTTCGACGATTTTCATATTCTGACATATTATTAAAATAGTTTGTTTGCAAACCTCAGATTTATGATTCGGTTTTTTGATGTTTTCTATATTTTGGGTGATCCCAAATTTCTAAAAGAATATAATGTTTCGCCAGTCATCACCATTATTTTTTATTGATTTAGATTTAATTTACTGTATGTTGTAAGGAATACACTGTTTTACGCGATTTTGTACTACGTCCTGTGTAAATTCAAGCTACCGAATTCACAAACTAAATACTTGGAAAAAATAAATTATGTAAACAAATTTGTATATTGTACAACCTGTAAACATCAAGCTGATCGCAAGTCTTGGAAGGTGATCGCGGGAACAAAGCGAATGTTTGGTCTCAGGTTAAAAACGTCCAAGGAGCCTTAATTCCCAGTACTTATTCTAAACCTCATAACTATTGAGTTCGAAGATCATGTTACTTGAAAACGCGATGCAAACCAACTGAGATTTGTGTAAAAGTTAAAACAATATCAAACAAAATAGGCCTACCGGTAGCCAGATTGACCGGTGGATGCTAAAACAACATTACTGGTCAAGAATGTATTTTCTAGAATGGATACGATTTAAATTATTTTGTATTTGATGGACATTTGAAAATGGAACTAATGGAATTTCAAATGATTATACACTAGATATCGGAATCTGCATATTCTATACCCTGCACGGTTTTAACAGATATTTTGGCTATCGTGTGTAGTAACGACTATTTTCTTACTGCAGTTGCTTGAACTTCAAATTCATGCTTGAATGGGTATTGATGAAATTGATTTAGATCAGATATCTATAAGCCCCTTTAGACCTCCAGCTTCGTGCTTAGTTTACGTCTCCATTATGTTACAAGACTTAATTTAAGCTTTCATTTTTCTCCTGCTTTTAACCCATTTAACTAACACTAAATGAGAAAATGTGCTTTTGGCGAGGATGGAAAGTACTGTATTTCCATCCTTGTATTTCGTCCCTGTATTCCCATCCTCCCTGTATAAGCCCGCGACTTTAATAGTACTCAAAAGTTTGATGTCACAAGTAGACCTAAACTATAGTTGTTAAAAATTTACATAGTCAATATCCCACAAAAAAATTAATAAAAATGGCAAAAAGGGAAATATGATGGATGCTAAGAAAGAGTAATTTTAATGGACAATGCTCTGCACAAATGATTTTATTGGTCTGCATAGTTTACCCCGATTCTATTCATCGTATTACAAATTAATTAATTTATTGGCCAATCAGGTCATAATCAGGATAGCAATCAAATTAGAAAGTGTCAAAAGTACAGTAATGGCCATCACATAAAGTTACACGACTAATCACTGCATTCTATTATTAACAACTCAATCGACCAGTTGTGTCTGGAGATTGACAGTCAACTTTGCAAGTTAGAGTTCGTTAATTGACAAAGTAAGATTCAACAGTTGAGATAACGTCAGCGGCAACAACCTGGATCAATTTTCAATGAACCCTGACGTCTACTTCCGGATGGATCGAACGTCTTTGGTTAGATAGTGAAATATAAATAGTTAAGCAGCTCCATTGATGGTTGCGCAGCAGTGGTCAAATGTTTACCAGGATCGACCGCAGGTTGCCATGGTAGCGCTTGTTTGGTTGGGGTAGACGACCTGTTAGCGGGGCGGTCAGTGGTCAGTCTAGGGAGTGGGCATTGCGGCCAGTGGTCTATGGGAGGATAGACGGCTGACGTAATGGGTACTCATGCCAGACGGTACTCGTTGGTCGAGCAGAAGAAGATGCAATGGGCCAAGGAAAGAGGTTAGTGATCGTGCTTACCCATCATCCATGATCATCCTACCCAAGATTCATTCATCTGTAGTTTGTTTATATGTCACAGTTACTTGATTGGTTCTGAGACACACTCCGATGGACCAGCTGACCAGCATTCAGCAGAGATCGCGTGTTTGTTTATTTTCTTGTAGAACCTATTCAATACCAGTTTGCAAAGTGGGTAGAGTGGAATTCTACATGTAACATATTTATGGTTTACGGAAATATGCTTACTAAGCCAAATGGACGTAAGTCTAACTTTTCGTTAGGGGGTGGCCGGGATTCCAGATAATTGATCCCATTGTTTTAAAACTCAAGGTGTTAAGGCCCAATCAATATTCAATTATGTATAATCAACCCCAATACACTTGTTATATACTGTATACAAACACAAAGAAGAAGTTGAACATATGATGACAAGAACAAAACAACTACTACAAGAATTTCAATTACAAATGGAATAATGGAGAACTGAAATGACTGGTACAGTGGTAAAATACTTCTATAAACAAACTTCATTTAAATCAACTTATCAAAAACACAAGGGTAGATGTACCGTACAATCTCTGGTTTGCTACAGATAGTGAAGTCCACTCTTTTGGTCAACACTACAACACTAACACTAACCCTACTCAAAAGCTTATGAAATTCTTCCCTAGAGTTAAGGGACGAAAACAAGTTGCACGTTATTGAAGTACAAGATAAAACTTAGGCGTCGGCGTATTTGTTCACATTGATACTTGTTTTAGCCGATGTCCAACTTGTGAATCATAGCAAATGCTTTTTACTGCGGAAATCATAGTTATACGTATACATTCTCGGAGATCACATCCCAGTTTGGAGTTCTTATGCAATTTTTTAGAGAATTGTTAGAATATTCAAAAAGGCCGCAACTTTAGCATTAAAAAAACTAAACCGTCTTCCGATGAGGAAGAGTCTTTTCTAACGTCTACAGTAGTTCACTCAAAATAATATTTTTTGTCCTAAGAAGCTAGGCACGAGTTTGGTATTGGTTTTCACATTACTTCAGGCTATACCTAGGAATTGCGGCTATATCACTTAGATATAATCCATTGGTGATTTTGCGGGATTTGAAATTTTCTTAGAAGTCTAAATTCTTATTTCTAAAGATTTAAATTGACTGCCATATTTTACTGGGTTAAGATGGACACCTCTAGTTTGCGTTGTTAGTTTTCTTTTATCACGACCTTCAAAATGAGGGGTCACTCGATGGTCTTAACATTTCAAATTTTTGAGTTTCCCCCAAAATCCTCCATTTTGGGCTTGCGAACTAAGTAGCAATTAGGCTCAAAAAGTACTTTATAACATGCCATAAAGGTGTGCAGAGTTTAGTTTTTCTATTGTGAACCGTTACAACATTTACGGGGTCCTATAGGCTTGGAAAGCTATAAGTTAAATTTCACTTCTGAGGATTTCAATTAATTGACTGCCATCTTTCACTGGGTTGAGATAGAGGCCCCTAAATAGTTTACGTTTTTTGTTTTATTTTATCATCAGGAGCTTCAAAATGAGGGGCACCTTCATTCGATGGGTATTACAATTTGAAATTTTTTAGTTTCACTCGAAATCCCCCCTTTTGGGGATGTACACTGTGGGAATAACCCACATCACCGCCAACAATTAAAGAATAAGGTAAGAGTCAACCCCATACCCCACAACACGAAGTGGCGGTTATGCCCAAAAAGTACTTCATAACATGCCATAAATGTGTGCAGAGTTTAGTTTTTCTAGTATGGGCCGTTAACTCATTGGCAGGGGGTCTTGAGACTTTTTATTAACCCTGTCAGTAGCGGCTAGCCCATAAGGACTCTCGGACGCCGCCCTCCCAACAATACAGAAATCAATATTTTTTTTATTTATGTAATAAAAAAATAATATGTCGTAATTAAAATTAAATTACAATTATTTACGACTACTTAATCAATATGATAATAATATGAAATGAAATAGTTTTAAATTTTGAATCCAGTAATGACTGTTTTGCGATAGTCGCTTTCATAATGTGGATTGCGGACGGCGGCAACCTCCGTCCCAAACTCAATGCATGTAGTGTTATGGTAGAAACACCTAACAGCGCTGAGGGTGCCGTGACGTCATTCCAATGCTTTACAATAGGGACTCTGGGGCAGAGTCCAAAGCTGCGCGCGCATCCATAAATCAGGGCAGCCACCCTAAACTGGATAATTCTGCATCACACACGATTAGGATAGGAAGAACCATGTTGGCAGCGCTGGAGCCATCATCCACACTGTCACTACCATAAACATAAACTAACCTCACTTCTTTCCATGTCCATGACCACAGTTCAGTTATAGTTTAGTGCCAAACGACCTGTTGTTTTGTGATCAATAGTGTTTAGTGATAGTGATGGAGGCCTAAGGAAGGCAGCGGTAGTTTTTTGAAGATTGAAAGAGCTAAGTAGAAATTATTAATAGTTATACTTAATTGATTGAGTTAGTTAGTTGGTATTTTTGAGTCAATAAGTTACGTCTGTAGTTTTAGTATAGGCTAACCTAATCAACCCGAAAACGAAGTAAACTAACCATAGGTAAAGTGACTCGGACAACTTTAGTTATAGTTACTTATTATTAGTCTTAATAAGTTATTACGGGTAAATTTGCCGTGGGTTGAAGGCCTAAATCTAAATAATAATGGACGGCGGCATTTCGTTGTCGTCGACGGCTAACGTCACTAATGAAGTTAGCCTGATTATCAATGAAGGGATCAAAAATATTGACCACAGAATTTCTTTGAAAAAATTAGGACCTCCTAGACCTTTCATGAACATAAACCAAATTCAAAACAGTTCAAAGAATAAGAATAGCTTCACACGAAAATTTTCGCCACATATGTACAATCATGCCGATTGGCTATGTGGCTGTTCAATTAAAAATTCATTTTTCTGCTACACTTGTTTGGTCATGGGGGTTCAAGATAGAGCATGGACTGTAGACGGGATTTCAGACCTTAAACATCTACTGGAAAAAGTAAAAAAACACAAAACAAGTGAAAAGCACATAAATGCGTCAATAGAATATGCTGTTTTAGGTAAAGTTGATATTAGATGCCAATTGGACAATGCATATAGGTTAAAAATACAAAAACAAAATGAAGATGTTTCGAAAAATCGATACATTCTAAGTAAGCTAATTGATGCAATTAAATTTTGTGGAGCGTTTGAATTAGCATTACGAGGACATGATGAACGCGAAAATTCAAAAAATCCTGGCATATTTCGTGGTTTGGTTAACCTTATGGCGGAGCTGGATGTAACATTGCAACAGCACATAAATCAAACAAATAACCGTGTTTTTGGGTCTGTCTAAAACCATACAGAACGAGTTATTGGACTCAATATATTACGTTTGTCTGCAAATGATTCGTGACGAATTGACACAAACCGACTATGTAGCTATTGAAGCCGACGAAACAACAGACTGTGCCACTTTATCCCAACTAGTATTTGTTATTAGGTACGAGCTGAATGGCACGATTCACGAGCGATTTATCACTTTTATTAGACCAAAAGGCCATGATGCAGAATCAGTTAGCGAAACAATTTTTGAAGTATTAGAGCAATTAAACCTCGACAAAACTCCTGATAAAGTCATTGCCCAGAGCTACGATGGGGCTTCCGTAATGAGTGGCCAACACACGGGAGTACAAGCGCGTGTAAAATCTAAATATAAGAATGCAAATTTTGTCCACTGTTACGCACATCAATTAAACTTAATCATTGAACGCAGTGCTACACAAAATAAGCAGGTTAAGATATTCTTCAGTAATATCGAGGGGTTTTCATCATTCTTTTCCCAGTCAACAAAGAGAACTGCAGTTCTCGATGAGATAGTAAAACGTCGTATTCCAAAAAGCTCAGGTACTCGGTGGAATTTTAAATCCAGAATTGTAAGCACAATTTTTAATTATCAAAGAGAGTTGGAGGAATGTTTAAGTTACATACTCGACGATGACACCAATGACTATGCCACAATAAATAAAGCTGTTGGCCTAAGAAGTATTCTAAAAGACGAAGACTTTATTTTCTGGCTGGACTTTTTCAATCAAATACTGCCCCACAGTGACATTCTGTACAACCAACTGCAGCAAACAACAATTGATTGCGTCAAGGCGTTTAAGTTTGTAGGCGATTTCAAAACTGTGGTAGATCGCGTAAGAAACTCGACCATGTTAGATCAACCGAGAGATAGTGAACCCGAATCGAGCAAAAAGCGGAGAAGATACGACGATCAAAAACGCGTTGTCGCAAAGGAAGTGTGTGACATAATTACGTCGGGAATTGATGACCGTTTTACGTTTGTAAATCATTTGTCCGCGGCAAAACTGTTTCAGCCAAGTTTGTTTGGGGAGTTTAAAACCAAGTTTCCCGAAAAAGAGTTACACGCTGCTGCGGAACTATTTAGCCTAAATAAAACTGAATTGAAACAGGAGTTAAATGTTATTTACAATAGGGATGATTTTTCAACGGCCACAGGGTCATTAAGACTACTCAACTTTGTCTATGACAACAACCTCAAAGATGTGCTTCCAGAGTCAATCAAACTTTTAAAAATCATAAGCACAATACCTATGACTACTTCGGAAAGTGAACGTTGTTTCTCTACTTTGAAACGAATTAAAACGTTTACCAGGAGTACCATGAAACAAGACAGACTAAGTGCGCTTGCTATGTGTTCTATCGAAAAAAAGCTGTTGTCAACTTTAAACTTCAACGAAAAAGTAATAGATCACTTCGCCGGGCAGAAAGAAAGGAGGATGGATTTCACATTCAAACAGTACAATTAAAGTTAGGCCTTATCCTCATGGTATGGTTTTCTACTCATATTACCGTGGATGTTTTAATATAAAATACAATTAGTCAAGCCTTACCCTCATGGTTTGGTTTTCTATTCGTTATTGCCGTGGGTGTTTAAATTATACAATTCAATCATTGTCAGGCCTTACCGTTT